CACATTTCTATGGCCTTCCCTTGGAATTGGAACATGTTCCGGGACAAGAACTGTTGGGCACCGTCGTGGACACCGCACAACGTTCCATCCGACTTGTCCTCCCACGGAACAGTATCTCTTTGCGCTCTCCGTGTTCGGTCTCTTCGACACGCAGGAACACTCAGGGACTTACCACGCGGATTTATCTCATTTGCCGATTATCCTGGCCCAAAGCCGTCATTGCACCTCAAGTTCGTGAACTTGTTCATCTATATCGTGAACGAGGTTTCTCTGAACGCTCACTGGAAGACGCATCCCGGTCCGTACTTCGTCGTTTTGGACTACGTTGGCGACAGGTCAGTGAACCCCCGGAAAACTTGCTCCCATGCGTGTATTGAACTGGCGCCCTTCCGTTCGTTGATTTATTCGCAGGCATTTTAGGTCAAGTTACCACCAGAGCCCTTAGTCATGGCCGGTTCATCCCCCGATTCCTATCTCTTGGACGACGTCACCTGGACACCAGACCCGGACATGGACTCAGACCTGGACGCCTCCTCCGCACATGATGCTGGTCTACCTCCCGCAGGTTCAGATGTTGATGGGGACCCCACACCTCATCGCACCCTTCCTCTTTCTCCCTCTCCTCTTCCAAGAACACGACCCAGCAAACGCCGTCGACGACATCGCCACCATACTACCTCCTCTTCTTCCACATCATCTCGACCTTCCAAGGCCACGTCAACATCATCTTCGACATCTTCATCGTCTTCATCCTCTTCTTTGTGCCCCACTACGGAACTACAAACAGTGGACCCACCTACCTCCTCGTCCCGTTCGAAGAAACGTCCACGGAAGACACCTTCGGAGACCAGCACTACCACTCCAGCGACAGGAGCTACACCAGCCACGACGAATCCTCCCTCAGCAACATTGGACGCTCCCCCTCGTGTCCGAATTCCTCCCCGAGGAAATGGTTATACATTACATCGAGTACGCCGCAGCAAGTCGGGCACTACACATTCCACCGTTTCATTCCATGGAGATGCCGCAGAACGTCGCCGACAACAGTGGCTCCGACAATGGCGCCAATGCACTCCTGCCTCCCCGTACTATCAGGACGTGCAGAACTGCATTAGACATCGCGCCCGCATTATGTTGGACATCATAGCACATGAACGAGGAGGACCCACTGCAGCTTCGGACAATTTACGGATACGACGCCGCTATGACCTACCAGAAGACCAACTCATTCCTTTGGCACTCATCTACCGGGATTGTGCCGCTCGCAGACGACGGTCCGTCCGCGAACTTCTGAGTACCTGATTCCAACGAGATCCCGCTCTGGAAAACATGCCCCGACATCTCCGTTTCGTCATTCCCACACCCGCAGCCTTTTTACCGCAGCTTTTCTGTACAAACACAGTTGGTTTCCCTTCCTCACCCACGAATGGCTTCCTTCATTGACGTCCTCCCCATGATCTTCTCCTATTTCGAGATGCAGACTATGATACAATTGGATCCCCGTCATTGCCAACGTCCACACACTGATGACCGCCACACCACCCGCTCCGCCTTCTCCATTTTGACCGCACATCACGGTGATTGTTCCTGGCATCAATATGGCGTTTGGCAACAGTTCCTCGCCGCCCTTCAAGATCACAAGATGAGCGCCCACAACTTCTTTGGCTTCCACCACGACAACACGGTGTTCACGATCTATCATTATCAGCCCTCGGTCATCGTATACTGCAATCGACTGTGTTGGCGAGCCCACGTCCATCTACGTTCTGCATCACGACTTTGCCTACGTGTTCGTATTCGAGATCCTACCCTAGCACAGTGGCGACCTACTTCGTCCGGACCCTGGATCACCACATGCTGGTGTTCAGCGCATTGCCTTTCCTTTTCCAAATGGACACCTACGATTTCTCGCCGCCACTCACCTCCTCCACCCATCACAACGGACAATCCTTATTGGCAACAGGAACAACAACGACATGGTCTTCTCCCCGCTCTGAGACGGTGAAGCTTTGGAGGACACTGACGGAAATTTTTGAGACAAAGACCCTCACTTGTGCATCTTGACCGTGGTCCATTTGATCTACCGCAGCCTTTTCAGCAATATTTGGTTAGTCCTCCGCCTCTCCTTTCCTTCCTTTCGTCGCCCGTACACTCATGGCCCCGCACCTACTCGATATTCCTTTGGAATGGTGGCTTGACTACCTGGTGGAGCTCCGAGTATGGCAAGTTCGTCCGATGACCTCCCCCGATCTCCAGATCCCCAGCACCCTCCTTGATCCACGCTTTGTCATATCACAGCACCGATTCACGACCTCTCAGAACCGCTACTACCTCGACACCCTCCATGGACTTTGTCAACTCAATCCTTCCTTCCAACGACTGGATTACTATGACCCGAACATCTGCGGTTACCAGTACAGCATGTTCACAACCGCACCATCTCCAAGCGTACTTCACGCATTACTTCTCGCTGATCGTCGACTACATTCCATAATGAGCCAACTGATACTTCGTCATCGTTGGCAACTTTGCCTTGGTCTACTGGCACCTAGAGTCTACGCTCGTCATGTTGATCGACGTCACTTTCTAAGGCACGAATTGCCAACTCCTCTCCGAGAAGTTCTCCACCGACTTTCCTTGCACCGCTGCCAGATCCTGCAAGTTCACCCGACGGCTCTACCTGCTCTACATGCTCACCGTCTTCGTCTGATTAATTCACCCCGCTACGGCGGGGTGTGTGTGTGACAACCCTGTATCCAAGGGTCTTCTCCTCACGCTCTGCAGCCATTTCCTACTTACGATTTACATATAACTGAACTTGAGCACAGAGTACACAGCAGGGGGCACAGGCCCATGGTGGTACCTGTGCCAACGAAGCTATCCACCATGGGGGAAGCGGAGTCTGATCAACTCCGTGTACCTGCACAACGAACGTATTTGGTATCTAGCATCCTCGCTGTGCATTGGTTATACTTTATGCGTGAGGAAATCTTCTGGATGGCCTGGGGCCAAGCCAAGAACCCCATTCTGAACTCCGTCAGTGCCTGCGTGACATCTTGGCATACAGTACTTGCAGTGCTTGCTTGCGCCGGGATCGAGGTTCAGGCCCTTTGTGGTTTAGTCAGGTCTTCAGGTTTATGTGGGATTACTTTGAGCTGTTCAGCTTCGACCTTACTGCACATGAAGATACGTGTTCAAAGTTGCTGGTGCATGGTCGCCCAAGACCTGGGCATCAGGTGGTCCTTCGCATACAGAAACCTCTCTTAGCATTCAGTGTGTGTGTTTGTGTGTTGCAGGCCTTGGAAGACTGCAACGAGCAATGGAACAGCAAAGCCAGCAAAGAACCAGATGCGCCACGAAACCAGAAGGTTCGTGTGGTGCGCATTGCGTGAAGCGAAGCGTCGGTGCGATCTTGTCTTCAAGCCTTCGGCTGGCGGTGGCAGGAAGTTGGACCTGCACATAAGGTGCCGCGATGTGCCGTTGCTGCTGAGGTCACACCAACTTAGCCTCCACAGCCTCTGTCAGAGACCATGCCTGTGGCCCAGCTCTGGAGGATCCGCCGAGCGCTGGGATCAAAAAATGCCCCTTCTGAGGTGCAGCTCGGTAGTTCGTTCAACATCCAGGGCGACGCCATCTTCCTGGGCCTTCGCCTCGGGGCGGGGCGGGGCGGTCTCGCGGCAGACGCGGACGCGGACCCCCTCCCTCTCTTTCTTTGCGCCTCTTTGAGGCGCCGTCTTCTCCGTCCAAAACCACGCCAACTTCGGCAGTTCGATGAGCATCGCGTCCTTCGCTCGATCAGGCTCAGGGGGCTCCTGGGGCTGGGGTTGGACGTGAGGCCTTCGTGAAGCCTATGTGCTTTTCTGGCCAGGCTCTACGACGCCTGTCTTTGGTGTGGCTCGTACTGGCAGCGCGTTGTTCGCAAAGGATCTCCGCATTGCTAGGCTTCTGCAATCGAGACAGGTTGCTCAGGTGGCAGTTGGTCCGAAATCCGAAGACTTTGGCACTGAATCTTCATCGTAGATTCGTAGATCTTCTCCGTGGTCAGGGCCTCTAGACGGTGAAGGTGGTAGATAGTGGCCTACTCGCTCGCAGATTCTAGTTTCGCCGACCACCTCTAGGCTACGCCGTTTCTACACTCCCGGGCCCTGTGAAGGACTTTACGCTCTCGGGCAGCTCCCTCTCGGTGGCGTGCTTCGCGCGCCCAGGGAGCTCGCTGCCCCTCTTTGAGCAAGCACGCGCGGCGCTCAAAGAGAGCGGCTTCCAAGGCTTCAGGCTGCTTCAGGCTTCGGCGCTTCGCTTTTTGAGAGCCTGAGCCTGAAGCCTTGCCTTTTTGCTCAGGTCTTGGTCCGATGCTGCCGGCTCCAGATTTCACACACTTCGGCTCTTTACCACTGGCACAAAGTCCCTCTTGAGCGGGCAGTGCTGTGTTGACTTACGGCATCACCTGACCCGGCGTGTTGTTGGCAGCACTTGACCCTGTGGACTTTGGATTACCCTTGGTGCTGCGGACGTCTATCTGATCAGGTGCCGTGATGCCTGCCTATGGCATGAGCTGCCCCGGCTCTGCAATGCTAGTACCAGAGCTCGCGAATTGCGGGTTAGCAGTGTTTTTGCGTAGTTTCGTGCGGCTCGGAAGTGTGACGTCGGCTTATGGCATGGCGTGTCTTGGAGCCTTACTGCCCGTCTTAGACTTTGTGCATCTTGGCTTGCTGATGCCATTGCGCAGCTACATCTGCTCTGAGCCGGTCATGTTCATCTATGGAATGACGAGCCTCGGGCTGTTGCCGTCTGTGCCGGACCTTGCGCACCTCGGAAGTGCCTTGCCATCGCACAGTTTTGCATGCCTTGGTCCCACGATGCCTGTGTATGGCAGTGTATGCTTGGGCCCTGCGTTTTCCACTCTGGATTTCATCCATCCGGACGCTTTGCCGCCGCTCCGGACACATGGTTGATTGGACTCCGCCACGTCCGCCTATGGGCTGTCTCGCCTTGGATCGCTCATGTTCGTGCTGGACCTCATCCATCCTGGCCCCATCACGCTGCTTCATGGGCTCGCCTGGTTGGGAGCTTTGCTGCCTGCATACGGCGCCGCATGCACAGGGCCGGCGCCATCGGTTTCGGACTTTGTGCATGTTGAGTCTTCCTCGCTCCTCCGCGGATGCGTTCGCATGGGCTTGCTGGCGTTTGCGTATGGCCTGACCCGACTAGGAGCCTTCCCGTCCACCTTGGACTTATTCATGCTCGGGTCGCTGCTGCTTGCGCAGAGCTCTGTTCAAACGGGCAGCTCGATGTCTGTCTATGGAATGAGTTGCCCGGGAGATTTCTTGGCCGTCCCTGATGTACTGCAGATTGATTTGCCTCTTGCCATGCAAGGCTTCGCCAGGCCTGGGTCTTCCTTGCTTGCATACGGCTTGGCACAGTTGGGGACATCTTTACCTGTGCTTGACCACGTGTCTCTTGGTGTGCCTTTGCCTTTGCGAACGCACATCCGCTTGGGCTCTCCGACGGCTACCTTCGGAATGGCTCGCCTTGGCTTTGCCACGCTGGCCTATGACTGTGTGGAGCCGGGCAGTGGCCTCTTCGTGACAAGCTTCGCTCGGCCAGGCTCCTTCCCTTTGGCCTACGGCGTCTCGCGCTTGGGAGCGTCCTTGTTGGTGGTCGACTTCTTGACCCCGGGAGCTTCGCCGCTGCCTCGCAGCTTTGCCCGTCCAGGCCTTTCCTTGCCAACTTATGGCATCTCCTGGCCCGGCTCTCTCCCGCCAACACCTGACTCTGCCACTTTGGATGCCTTGATGTCCTTGAGAGCCTGCTGCCACATGGAGCCAACCTCATCACTTTACGGGCTCGGTTGCCCTGGGCCGCTGTTGTTTGCCTCGGACTTCGTTCAAGTCGGCCCCCCACTTCTGCTGAAGACCTTTGCGCAGACGGAGGCGTCCCCATCCTTGTCTGGTTTGTCCTGCCCCGGGTTCCCGATGCCAGCTTCGGATGCCGTGAACCTGGGACTGCCGACGTCCACACGGGCCTTTGTCTGCCCCGGACCTTCGCTGCTTCTCAGCGGCTCGGCCCGGCTGGGTCCGTCTTTGCTGGTGCTGGACCTCGTTCACTTGGGGCCTCCGCCGCTCGCTCGAGGCTTTGCTCGGACAGGGTCCTTGCTTTTGGTCTACGGCATTGCTTGCTCGGAACCCTTACCGCTTGCCCTTGACCCCGTGACTTTCTCCTCGTCCTTGCTTGTTCGGGGACTTGTGTGCTTGGGCCTGCCAATGCCAGCATACGGCATCAGTCGATCAGGCTTCCCGCTCTTGGCCGCAGACCTCGTGAACACCGGCAGCCTGCCATCTCCGCACAGCTCCAGCTGGCCTGGTTCTGTGCTGCTTTTATATGGGATGATGCGCTTGGGATCAATCCTTCCTCTGCCGGACCTTGCACACATTGGGCCACCGTTTTCACCCAGGAGCTTTGCTTGGCCAGGTTTGACGACTTTGCTGTATGGTGTAGCGTGGACGGGATCTTCGACGCTGCTGCCAGACCATGCCACCTCCGGCTTGTCGCCTTCGATGCGAAGCTTCTTGCGCACTGGATTCGTGCTGCTGGCCTATGGCATGAGTCGTCCTGAGCTTTTCCTGTCCGTCCTGGACTTTGCTCATTCGGACAGCTCCGTGCCTTTCCAAGCATGCATGCGCATTGGCCTCATGCTTTCGGCTTACGGCATGGCGAGGCTGGGTGTTTTGCTACCCGTCTTGGACCGTGCGCACGTGGACTCACCACTACTTCTCCAAACCCTTCTTCACACTGGACCGATCACGTTGGCGTCCGGCTTAACTTGGCCAGGCTCGCTCTCGCTCACTTTGGATTTCATAAAGGTGGGCAGTGCCACGTTTTTGCATATGCTTGCTTGATCGGATCTGGCATCGCCAGCCTACGGCATGTGTTGCCTCGGATTGCCATCATCAGTATCGGACCTTATCACACCAGACCCTTCCATGCTTCCACAAAGTTCTTCACAACCTGGCGCGACTGTGTCGCCTTATGGCGTCGCAAAGCTTGGCTCCTTGATGACTGCCCTTGATTCTGTCAGTTTTGGAAGCCTCCTGACATCGAGGAGCCCTGCAAGAACGGGCCTCATCACGTCGGCGTACGGGATGAGCCGAATGGATCCCTTGCTGTCTGCACCTGACTCTGCACACATCGGCCCAGTGCCGCCTTTGCATGGGCGTGCTCGGCTTGAGCCGACTCCGCTTGCGTCCGGACTGACTTGGCTTGGACTTCTTACATCGGCTTTGGACCTCATTCATCTGGAGCTCTTGATGGCCATTCGTGGTCTCGTTCGTTCAGGTTTGATGCTCTCTGCTTTCGGCTTGAGCAGGTCAGAGTCTCTAATGCCCGCCCTGGACCCTATCCAGGCAGACACCTCGCCTGCACCTCGTACGCTCTGCCGGACGGAGCTTTTGCTGCTTGTGTCTGGGATTTCTTGCCTTGACTTCTTCCCTTCCGCGATGGATTTTGTCTCGATGGGATCCGCTTCGGCGTCGCGTGGTCCAGCGCAGCTCGGCCTTCCTGTCCTGACCTACGGAATTACTTGCCCTGGACTTCTTCCGTTTGTGCCGGACTATGTGCATCCTGGCTCCGTGCCATCCTTTCGTGCGTCTGCTAGGGTCGGGTCAGCCTCGCTTACATATGGAGTGGCTTGGCTTGGCTTCCTGCCGGCCGTACCTGACCATATGAGCACAGACTCCACTCTTTTGGTGCAAGCTTTTGTGCGACTGGGCTTGGTATTGTCGACCTACGGCATGATGAGGCCCGGACTGTCCTCGTCTGTGTCAGACTTCGTTCACATCGATCTTTCCGCCTTGCTCAGGGCCTTTTCAAGGTCGGGTCTCGCCACGTCACTGTACGGCATGCAACGCTTGGGCCCTTCGGTCTTTGTCTCGGACCACTGCACTTTTGGCTCCGTTTCGCTGTTGCGAGCTCTTAGCCATTCGGGAGCGGCTCCGTCCGTTTACGGCATGGCCAGGGCAGGTTCGACGCCTTCGGCCCCTGACTCTGCCTGCACGGGTTCCTTGTCGCCATTGCGGTCCTTCGTGCGCCCCGGCCCTTCCGTGTCGGCATACGGCGTCGCTTGCCTGGGCCCGACTGCTCCACTACCAGATTTCGTTGACGTCGGACCCCTTTCGCTGACTCAAGGTCTTATGCAAGCTGGCCTTGCAATGTCGGCCTACGGCATGTCCTGCCTTGAGAGCCTTTTGTTTGCCTTGGACTTTGTGCACCCTGAGTCTCTTCTTTTGGTGCGTGGCCCCATTCGTCCGGAGCCTGCATCGCCTGTCTACGGGTTAACGAGGCTGGGGCTCTTGCTGCCTGCACCGGACTCTACCCACATGGACTTCAGTCTGTCGCCGCAGTCACCTGCTTGACTGGGCCCAAGCCTGTTGGCCTATGGCATGATTCGGCTAGGATTCCCACTGCTTGTGGTGGATTTTGTCCATCTTGGCCCGACGCTTCTGCTGCGTGGCTTCGGTCGACCGGGGCCTGCCGTACCGATTTCTGGCATGACAAGGCTTGGCGTTTCCTTGTTGATGCTAGACTTCGCCAGCATGGGTCTAATGTTTCTGATGCGCAGCATGTTCCGCACAGGGCCGACGATGCTTGCGTATGGCATGACACGTTCGGAGCTGATCTTGCCAGCCCTAGACTTTCTCCATTTGGGCTTCTCGCTGCTGCTTCAAATGCACTGCCGTTTGGGGTTGATACTGCCTGCGTATGGCATGACGCAGCTCGAGCCACCACCCTCCGTCCCTGACCATGTGAGTATTGATTTGCCCACGTTCCTTCGACACTTTGTTCAGCTGGGATCCACGGCGCTGACGTATGGCCTGGCATGTGTCGAGCTTACCGCATCGGCCTTGGATCTCATGCATTTTGAGCCATCGCTGCCAACCCGAGGCCTCCAGAGAACCGGACTAGCAATGCCTGCATATGGAATGTCCCGTCCCGGCAGCATGTCATCAGCGCTTGATTACATCCACCTGGATGCCCCTTTGTCTCTTCAAAGCTTCATCTGTCTCGAAAGCGCTATGCCAGTTTATGGAATGGGCCGCCTGGGAATCTCCTTGTTGGTGCCGGACCATTTTGCCTTGGGCAGCTCGTTGCTTGTACGCACGATGTCACGACCTGGGTCCACACTCTTCGTATACGGCTTTGCATGCTTGGGATTCCCTTTGCTCGCACTGGATCTTGTCACGGTTGGCTCAGCATCCCCTTTGCACGGCTTCGCCCACCTGGAGCCATCCATGTTCATCTATGGCATGTGTGTGGTGACCGAGGGCTTCAGGACAAGAGGCTATGCCGAGTTTTGCAGCTCGTACTTGGTGAGAAGTTTTGCACGCCTGGGCTTTCCTTCGTTTGCATATGGGCTATCGTGGCCCGATCTTCCGCTGTCAGTGTTGGACTATGTGCAAACCGAGTCTCCTTTGCCCCTCAGAGGACCTTCGTGCTCGGGATCTTCTCCTCCCGTCTTCGGATTGGCTTGCTTGGGGCCGCCACTATTCATCTTGGACTTTGTGTGCCTGGAGCCGTCGATGCTCGTGAGCAGCTTTATGCAAGCTGACAGGACACCCTTCGCATCCGACTACGCCAGCATGCAAAGCTCCCTCTCGCTGAGGGGCTTTGGCAGGCTTGGTTCCTCCATGCTGGCCTACGGCATGACATGACCTGGCTCCCTTCTGCTTGCGCTGGACTTTGTGCACATGGGTTTCCCACTCTTTCTGCAAACACCCTCTTGCTTGGAAGCGGCTGTGCCTGTTTATGGTGTCAGCAGATCAGGCTTCCTGCTTCTGTTGCTTGATCATGCAAGCGTGGACTTCCCATTCCCCCCACAAACTCATGCAAGACTTGGACCTGCGCCCCTTGCTTATGGGCTAACGCGGCCCGATTCACCATCGCTGACCGTGGACTTTGTTTCTCTTGGCTTCTTGCCTTCTTTGCACGGCTCCTGTTGTACTGACTCGATGCTACCTGCTTATGGCATTACACGTCTCGGCTTCTTGCTACTTACCTTGGACTTCCTGTTGATAGGGAGCCCGTTGCTGCCGCAGACGCTTGCCTGTCCGGGTTTGCCACCGTTTGCTTGCGGCATGTCACGTTTGGGCTTTTTGCCATCACTGCTTGATCCTTTGCAGACGGGCTCGTCTTCGCCTGCTCGCGGCTTTGCAAGGCCTGGCAGCGCTGCCTTGGTCTACGGCATCGCAAGGCCTGGACTTCCTCTGCCTGTCCCGGACTCTGTGCAGCTCGGATCGGCCGTGTCTTTGCGATGCTGGATGCAAGCAGACTCCGCTCTGTCCGCCTATGGCATGTCGCAGCTCGGACCGACCTCGTTTGCCCCTGATCTCGTGCATTCAGGATCTGCGATATCATCAAGGTACTACCTGCGTCTTGAGCCAAGTTTGCCAGTGTATGGCATGTCCCAACTGGACTCCACGTTGTTGGCTTTGGACTACGTGCATCTGGGGGTTCCTCCATTGTTGCGAGCGCTCTGCTGCATTGACTTCACGATTCCCGTCTATGGCATGAGCTGTCCCGAATTGCTCGTGTTACTGTTGGATTCCATTTCGCCGGGTGCATCATCGCTTTTGCGAAGCTTCGCCTGCCCGGGTCCTGCGCCGTTGGTGTACGGCTGCGCTTGGCCGGACCTGTCGCTCCCTGCACTGGACTTTGTGCACTCGGAGCCACCACCCTCGCCACGAGCTCATGCCCGAACGGAAGCGTTGTTGTCGGTGTATGGAATGTGCCGGCCGGACTTGCCACTGCCCCCACTTGACTTTATCCATTCCGACTTCTCCTCACTGTCACATGGTTCCAGCTGTTCAGACAGCTTGCTTCTGGTCTTTGGCATGTCACGGCCAGGCAGCTCACTTCTTGCCCTAGACATGATCCACACAGGAAGCTCCTTGCTGCCACGGTCGCTTATTTGCTCGGGCTTTCTGTCGCCTGTCTATGGGGTGGCCGCACCGGAAGTTTTTTTGTCGGTTTTGGACCTTGTTCGCCCGGAACCTGTCCTGCCGATGCAAAGCCACCTCTGTCCAGGTCCGTTTCTGCTGGTCTCTGGTGTGACATGTCCCGAACTGCCCCTTTCTACATCGGATCTCTTGCATCTGGGCTTTTCATCGCCTCTTCAAAGCTTTACGTGCCTTGACCCGTCGCTTTCAACATCCGGCATCTCTCAACCGGAGCTCAGCTCACCTGCAGCCGACTTTTTGAGCCCGGGTCTGACTTCGCCTCTTCGAAGCACGATGCGGGCGGGCTCCATCATGCCGGCCTTTGGTATGACGTGACCAGGACTCCCTTTGTCAATCTTGGACTTCATCCACATGGGTCCCATGCTGCTCTTGCATGGATCTATCAGAGCTGGCTTTCTCTTGTTTCTCTATGGCATCTCGACTCCCGACCTTTCCGTGCTTGCATCGGACTCTGTGAACTCGGGAGCTTCGCCGTCCTTGCAATCGTCCTTGTGCCTCGACTTCCCGATGTCGGTCTATGGCCTGGCGCGTCCTGATTCTTTCTCGCCTGTCTTGGACCTTGTGCACTCAGACTTGATCCTGCTGATGCAAAGCCCTGTACGCCTGGGCTTGGCTCTGCTGGTTTGGGGCATGACCTGCCCTGGCTTTTCGCTTCCTGCCCCTGACTTCCTGCATTCAGGACCCCTGCCGTTGCTGCGGAGCCTGATGTGTGTAGAGTTGCCCCTGCTGGTCTACGGCTTCTCCAAGTTGGGCCTTCCAATGCCGGTGCCGGACTCTGTAGCTGTGGGCTTCCCGTTGTTGCTTCGAAGCCACATGTGCTCGGACCCTTCGACGCCGGCCTATGGTGCTGCCAGGTCGGGGCTCACGCCTTTAATGCCAGACCCTGTTCTGCTGGAATCGGTGCTTCCCTTGCGAGGATCCGCGCAAACGGAGCTGTCCCTTTTTGCATACGGTATGTCCCTCCTTGACAGCCTACTGCCGGTTTTGGACCACGTGGATTTAGGCCCACTTCTGCTTCTCCAAGCACCTGCATGTTTCGACTTCAGCATGCTCACCTTTGGCTGTGCCAGACTGGACTTATTCTTGCCGATGCTTGATCCCATGCAGGCTGACAGCTTTCTGCCGCTGCGTAGCCCGGTGCGTTCGGGATTCTTGATGTCCGCTTTCGGCGTGGCTTGTTCGGGCTTGCCCCTGTCTGTTTCGGACTCTGTCTCTATAGATAGCTTGTTGCCACTGCACAACCACTTTCGCTCCGGCCTTCTAACATCCGTCTATGGCATCAGCAGGCCCGGGGCAAGCTTGCCTGCACCAGATCACGTGATGATGGGCTCGTCGCTGTTGGTGCGAAACCTTTGCCGACTTGGGTCGCTGTTGCCGGCATATGGAGTCACTTGCCCTGATGCACTGACGCCGGTCCTGGATTCCACACACCTCGGAAGCTGTCCTCCACTCCGTGGTTTCGTCTGCATGGGTTCTCCGATGCCTCTCTACGGAGTTGCACAGCTCGACCCGCCTCTCTTAGCGCTTGACCCTGTAAGCCTCGGGCTCATGCTGCCATCACAGTGCCTTGCTTGCATTGAGGCTTCTCTGTTCCCTTTTAGAACGAGCCGCTTCGAGCCGTCGATGTCGACTCCCGACCTTGTGCAAACTGATCTGCTGTTGCCACTGCAAGGATTCACCTGCATGGGACCCACGTTTTTGATCTATGGCCTGACAAGACCTGGGCTCCCATCACTGGCCCTGGACCTTTGCCACTCTGACAGCTCCGCTTCGCTTCGTGGCTCTGCGTGACTAGGCTTCCTTCCTTCACAGTATGGCTTGATGCGTCCGGGCCTGCTCCCGTTCGTGCCTGACTCCGTGACTTCAGACCTTCCTTTGCCGGTGCGGGCGTTTCTTTGCTCGGGCTCCGTGTCGTTGGTTTACGGCATGAGCTACCTGGACGTGTTGCTTTCCGTGCTGGATTTCGTGCACACGGAAAGCCTTGTGCCACTACAGAGCCACTGCTGGACTGGCCCGTCGTCGCTCGTCTTTGGCGCGACCTGCTTGGAAAGCACACTGCCAACACTGGACTTTGTGCAGCCAGATTCACCGTCGTTGGTGCAAAGCTCTGCGCGCACGGGCCCTTCCGTGTTGCTCTACGGTGTGATGAGGTTGGGCTTCATGCTGTTTCTGCCCGACTACGCCCTTCTTGGCAGTTCCTTGTCTCTTCGCAGCTATGCACAAGCAGGTCCGCTGCTTCCAGCTTATGGGCTGATGTGGTTGGACTTGCCTCCATCTTCATCAGACTCTGCAGACCCAGAATCCTCGTCACTGTTGCGCTCCTTTATGCAATCGGGATCCAGCATGCTTGTCTACGGCCTCGGCAGGCTGGACCTGTCCTCATTGACTCCTGACCCCGTGAACCTGGACAGTTCCTTGCTGCCCAGAGCGCTTGCGCGAACGGAGTTGCCGTCGCCCGCCTACGGAATGGTCGGCTTAGGCAGCTTGCTGCTTGTGCCGGATCACCTGAGCCTTGGGGCGCCCCTACCTTTGCGGAGCTACATCTGCTCGGGATCTTCGCCACTTGCGTATGGCATCAGTCGTCTAGGCTCGAATCCGGTCGTGAAGGACTGCTTTGTCGGGGCGAGCTCGCTGCCTGTGCGTTCTCACGCTTGTTCGGGCTTCAGTCTTCCTGCTTTCGGCGTGGTGAATCCGGGCCTCGCACCTCTTGCCTCGGATCACGTGAATCCAGAGCTTTCCCTGCTCTTGCGGTCTTTCATCCGCCTCGAATCCGCTTCGCCCGTCTACGGTCTATCTAGGCTAGGCTTCTTGCTGCTTGCGCTGGACTCTTTGCACCCAGACTTCTCCATGTTGCTGAGATCACACTGGCGTACGGGTTCCACCATGCCGCTCTATGGAACGGCGAAGCCGGGCTCCAGCATGTCAGTGCCTGATTCTGCATCTCCCGAAGTTTTGATGTCGACAAGGAGCCTTCTTCGCCTGGGCCTGCCTCCTTTTGTCTATGGCATGGGCTGATCGGACTGGGGCATGTCGGCATTGGACTTTGTGCACATGGGCTTAAGCTCCTCGTTGCGTGGTCTTGCCCACTCTGGTTCGCCACCTTTGGTTTACGGAATCTGTCATCCCGGCTCGGCCTTGTTGGTGTCGGACCATTTGAAGTTTGGACCGGCATCGTCCCTGCGAGGATTCCTCCATCTCGACTTAGCTCCCTTGGTCTACGGAATTGCACGTTTGGGTTCGATGCTCTTAGCCCTTGATCCCATCCACCCAGGCCCGACTTTGTTTCTTCGAGGCCTTGCCAGGATGGAGTTGACTTCGTCCGCTTACGGCATGTCGAGGTCAGGGCCGCTGCTGCCAACTCTTGACTCCATGCAGCTTGGACTGTTGCTTCCACTACACAGCGCCATCTGGCTTGAATCCCCGCCATCGGTCTACGGCCTGACACGGACGGGCCCCTCCCTTTCCTTGCTGGACTCTTTGTCCCCAGGCTTCACGTTGCTCTTGAGGTCTTCCGTTTGCCCAGGCCTCCCAACTTCAGTCTACGGCATGGTCTGCTTGGAGTCGCCAACGCCCGTTGCCGACTTTGTCCATTTAGGCCCGTCTCCATCGCCGAGGACATCTTCTCAGCCTGGGTTGGCGCTCCCTGTCTACGGCCTCGTTCGCCTCGGTCCGAGCCTGTTTGCGCTGGACGCTATGAGTTTGGGCTCTGCTTTTTCTCCGAGTAGTTCTGTCTGTCCGGGATTTTCACCGCCAGTGTACGGACTGACATGCATGGGCTCCAGCCTTTTGGTGCTGGACTATGTGCAGTCGGGTCTTCCGATGCTGCTGCACAGCCACATTTGCTCGGACCCTTCGTTGCCAGCTTACGGACTGGTGTGCTTGGGCCCCACGCCACCAGTCTTGGACCTTGTGAACATCGACTTGGCTCTACCGATCCTGAGTCCTGCTCGCTTGGGATCCTCCCTGCCGGCTTTCTCCAAGACTCGGCTTGAGAAATCCCTGCCAGCTCTCGACTTTCTGCACCTCGGCTTGCCAACATCCCCTCGAAGCCTCATTAGGACGGGCCCCTTGGCATCAGCCTACGGTTTGTCCTGTTCGGGGCCTTCACCTCCAGCATCGGATCCTGCACACTCGGGAAGCCTGTTGCTGCTCCAGAGCTACCTCTGACCGGGCCTTCTGATTCCCATCTTTGGGCTGTCAAAGCTGGGCTTTCTCATGCCTGTGCTGGATCTCACTCTGCTTGGGCCGACCACGCCTCCGCGATCTCTTGCTCGCTTTGACTCCTCTCTTTCACTCTTCGGTGTGAATACGCCGGGCCTGCTCATGTCAGCGTCAGACCATGTCCAGCTCGGGCCAAGCGCGCTGCTGCAGGGACCTGTGCGATCTGACCTTCCGTTGCCTGCTTACGGGCTGACACGGCCGGGACTGCCCACGCTCACTCCGGATGCCATCACCCTGGGTTTCTCCCTGCCTTTGCAGTCGCCCATCCAAACTGAGCTTCCGCTGCTGCTCTACGGAATCGCGAAGCCAGGGCCCTTCTCGCTGGTGCTGGACCTCGTCAGTGCAGGTTCTGCAGCTTTGCCTCGAAGCTTCCTGCGGCCCGACTCCACCCTACCTGCATCCGGGATGACGAAGCTGGGCTCCTCGCTTTCAGTCTTGGACTATGTTGGCTTGGGGCCCTTTCTGTTGCTGAAGGGCCCTCTTCAGCCTGGCTCCAGCTTGTCCGCTTATGGCTTGGTGGGGCTTGGCTCGCTGCCGCTTGCCTTGGACTTCGTCCACTCAGGCCTGGCCTTGCCCTTGAGAGCTCTTGCTCGACTGGGATCATCCGTATTTGCCTATGGCATGTCCCGTTTGGGCTTCCCTCTCCCGGCCCTGGATTTCTCGCATTTCGGCTCGACGACGTCCTTGAGATCCCATGCGCACTTGGAAGTTACTCTGCCGGTGTACGGAGTGACGAGGCTCGGGCCTCTGCTGCTTTCACTCGACTGCGCAGGTATCGGCAGCACGACTTCACTGAGATCCTTCGTTCGCTTGGGCTTCTTCCTTCTAGTCTTCGGCCTGGCGTGCTCAGACTTCATCCTGTCCGTGCTGGACTCCGTCCAACTTGACAGCACCATGCCGTTGCACAGCTTCATTTGCCTGGGCCTGGGGTCACCAGCTTATGGATTGACGCGCTTGGACTTCCTTCCGCTGGCTCCTGATCTCGTTCACCCCGGCTTGTCCATGTCACCACGAGCCCGTGTTCAATTAGAGTCGATGCTTTCAGCCTTTGGCATGTCGGTGCTCGGGCTATCAATGCCAGTGTTGGATTCCGTCCAGCTGGATTCGCTGCCTTTGCTGCGCAGCTCTGCTCACATCGACCTGCTGCTGCTTCTGTATGGCATGGGACGACTCGGTTCATCGATGCCCGCTTTGGACTTTGTATTTGTAGGCTTTTTGCCGTTCTTGCAAGGCCACTGCCAACTAGGCTTGTTTACGTCAACCTACGGCTTCAACCGTTTGGACTTGTCGACATCAACTTCGGACTATCTGCACTCAGGTTTCTCCCTACTTCCCAGGAGTCTCGTCCGAACAGAACCGTCTTTATTTGCATATGGCATGCAGAGGCTGAGCCCAATGCTGTTTGTTCCCGACCATATAACCGTGGGGCCCTCACTGTCGCTGCATATGCATGCTAAGGTTGGACCGGCTTCGTCCGTTTATGGCATCGTGCGTCCAGACCTGCCCATGCTGCCCTCGGACTTCGTGCACCTGGGACCAGGACTGCCTGTGCAAGGTCTTGCTCGAGCTGGCTCCCTTCCGCCGGTGTACGGACTGGTCCGTTTGGGATCTCTCCCGTCTGTGCTCGACTTCGTCCACTTGGGCTCGCCGCCTCCTCTAAGGACCTTTGCACAGATGGGGCCTTCTATGCCCCTGTCCGGCTGTGTGCGCTTGGGCTCTAGCCTGCTCTCACCGGACTCTGGCAGCTTTGGTCCGATCTCGCTCATTCACAGCTTCGCCAGGCCGGGCTCACCTACGCTTGTGTACGGCGTGACCTGCTTCGGATCCTCGACGTTTGCGCCGGACTTCATCCAGTCCGAGCTGCTTATGTCGCTCCGAGCACTTATTCGCTTTGGGTTTGCACCTTCGGCGTACGGCCTGACCTGTTTAGGCTCTTCGCCCTTAGTTGCCGACTTCGTCAACACAGACAGCACCTTTTTGTCGCAAAATCATGCGTGACTTGGCTCAGTGCTGCTGGCCTCTGGCATGGTCTGCCTCGATCTGCCCCTGTTGGCCTTGGACTTCTGCCACCTTGGCTTCCTGCTGCTTTTGCAGAACTACATGCAGGCGGACCTTTCACCGCTGGCCTATGGCATGACAAGGATCGGGCCCTCGTCGTCGGCCTCGGACTCCGGGCACATGGGATTCTCGGTGCCTCCACACGGTTTCGTGAAGATCGGGTCCACTTCGCCTTCGTTCGGCTTGTCCAGGCCCGGAAGCTCCTTGCCGGTGCCGGATCTCATTCAAACTGAGTCCTCGACGCCCTTGAAGGGCCTCGCATGCCCCGGGAGCACTACTTCAGCCTTCGGCATGGCCCGGCTCGGCTTTCTTCCTTCGGCTTTGGACCTTGTCTCCCTCGACTTTCCGCTGCCCTTGAGGAGCTTTGCCTGAACCGGGCCAGCACTGCCTCCATACGGCATGGTTTGCCCCGAACCCTCGTCGTTCATTCTCGATCACGTCCATTTGGGCCCTCCCTTGTCGCTGCGTGGCCTTGGCCGCTTGGGCCTCACATTGTCGGCCTACGGCATTGCCAGGCTGGGACCGATGACTCTGGCGCTGGATCACGTGACTGCAGGCCTGCTGCTGTTCTCGCGAACTCCTGCGTGCTCTGATCTCTCATTGTTTGTTTGGGGAATGTCCACGTCGGAACTGTCACCACCTGCGCTTGATCCTGTAGCGCTCGATTCCCTACCGCTGCTGAGGGCGCTCTGCCGATCGGGGTCTGCGACGTTGGCCTATGGCATGATGCGTTTAGGTTCCCTGCCACTGGCATTGGATTTTGTTCGCACTGGACCGAGCCTTCCCTCGAGGACGTCTGCCTGCATTGACTCCGCGCCTTTCGCATACGGCCTGACCTGGCCTGGCCCGCCCTTGCCGGTGCCGGACCCTGCGAATCCGGAGTCCTCGTCGTCGATGCAATCCTTCGTGAGGACGGGACTAGTCCTTTTGGCTTATGGCTTATCGCAGCTGGGCCTCATCTTGCTGGTCTTAGACTTCGTCCATTCGGACAGTAGCTTGTCACTGCAGGGCTTCTTCTGTACAGGCTCGCTGATGCCAGCCTATGGTATGTCTTGCATGGGTTTTTGTACGCCTGTGTCAGACTGCGTTCACCCCGGCCCGCCCATGCCGCCACACTACCACGCACGCTTAGGCTCCACACTTCCGGCCTTTGGAATGGCTCGCTTGGGATCTCTGATGTTCATCTTGGATCCTACAAACTTCGGAAGCTCTCTACCGGCTAGGAGCCATTTCTACGTGGAGGTCTCCCTTTTTGCCTATGGCATGTCCCGGCTGGGCCTTCCCTCGTTTGTTTTGGACTCCATCCGACTCGAGAGCTTTTTGCCTCTGCAGGGCCTCTGCCGGCCTGGCGCGCTTTTTTTGGCCTCTGGCATGACTTGCCTGGGGCCTCCGATGCCGACTTCGGACCTCTTGCGTTCGGGCTTCCCTATTCTCTTGAGATCCATGCTCTGCACAGGCTTCGGGCTGTTGGTCTCCGGAATGGCACGTCCGGGCTCTTCGTCGCTTGTTCTTGACTTCATTCATCCGGGCTTTTCGACCTCATTGAAGGCTTCTGCTCGGCTCGGATCCCTTCTGTCTGCAGCCGGCCTGGCACGGTCGGGCCTGTCTCTGTTAACTTTGGACCTCGTTCATTTGGGCTCGTTTTTGCTTCTCAGAGGCCATGCCCGAATTGGCTTTGTTCTGCCGGCATACGGCATGACTAGGCTCGACCCGCTGATGCCGACTTCAGATATGTGTCACCTTGGGTTGTCCTTGCTGCCCCGATCACTCATCCGGCTTGACTTTGCTATGCCAGTCTATGGCATGGTTTGCATGGGCCTCTCCTCGCCAGTCCTGGATTCTGTGCATCCAGGTTTCAGCTTGTCGCTTCGGCATTCTGCATACTCCGGCCTGCCTCCTTCAGTGTACGGCTTCATGCAAACAGGGCTTCCGCTTTTGACACTGGACCATCTGTCGGTCGGCAGTTTCTTGCCCCTGAGAGGGTACAGCCAACTGGGATTCACGACCCTGGCTTATGGCATGAGTCAGATAGGGTCACCGTCGTTGATATTGGACTTTGCAACTTTTGAAAGCGCACTGTCTTCAAGGAGTTTCATGTGCATGGACGCATCCTTGCCCGTATACGGGCTTTCGCGATCGGGCTTGATGTTGTCAGCCTTGGATCCCGCTCAGCTCGGCCCCGCTCCATCCATTCGTAGTCTTGCGCAGTCGGAGCTGTCCCCATTGGCGTCCGGCCTGGCCAGGTCAGGAAGTTTTCTGCCTGTCTTGGACCTCATCAGCTCGGGCCCTTTGATGCTTGTGCAAGGTTCCGTAAGGCCTGAGCTGCCTCTCTCAATCTCTGGTTTGTCACAACCGGGACTGAGTACTTTGGCTTTGGATTTTGCCTCCTTGGGCCTGTTCTTGTTCGTGCAATCCCTCGTCAGACTTGGACCGAGTCCACCTGCCTCCGGCATGTCCTGACCTGGCTTTCCATCATCGGTACTGGACTGCGTGCACTTCGAGCTTCCGATGTCACCCCAAACCCTTGCTTGCACTGGGCTGCTGCCGCTGGTCTCCGGGCTGGCTCGCCTAGGAAGCATGTTTTCGGTGCCAGATTACACGAATTTCGGAAGCGCACTGCCGATTCGGACAACAGTTCACCCGGGTCCATTCTTGCCAGCCTATGGTATCTGCAAGCTCGGTTTGACGTTGCCCGTTATGGACTTTGTTCAACCAGACTTGACCATGCTTTCACGGAACTTTGCGCGGTTTGGCCCATCCTTGCCTACTTTTGGATTGATGAGGCTTGGGCCTATGCTGCTTGCCCTTGACCTTGGTAGTGTTGGTGCCCTGTTGTCCATTCAAACCTTTGTGAGGACGGGTTCGGTGTCGTTGGCCTACGGCACGTGTTGTACGGACCCGAGCCTCTTTCTGCTGGACCCTGCAAGCCTGGACCCCACGCCTTCCTTGCAGGGCCTCGCTTGCTGTGAGTCGTTCCTGCTGCCATATGGCATGTCATGCCCGGGCCTGTCTCTGCCGATCCTGGATTCCATTCACACAGACAGCGCGTCATCCTTGCATGGACATGTCCGCTTGGACTTCTTGCTGCCCGCATTCGGAATGACCCGGTTAGGATTCAGTTTGTCCGCATCAGATTCCGCACAGATGGGTCCACCTCTGTTCCCTCGTGGGCACTTGCGCATGGAGCTTTCACCTTCTGCCTACGGTGTTGGATGTTCAGGCCTTTTGCTGCTTGCACTGGATCCCATCCATTTAGGGTTGGCGCTGCTTATTCGAAGCTTCCTGCACGCGGGGCTTGTGTTGTTGGCCTATGGCATCGCATGCTGTGGCCTACCTACGCCGACCCTGGACTTTGTCCATTCGGGGCTTCTGCTGTTCTTAAGGACTCTTGCTTGAGTTGGGTCGATTCTTTTTGTCTACGGGATGTCCCGGCCTGGCTCCGTCTCGCCATCACTGGACCGCGTGCACTTGGAGCCCTCGCTGTCCTTACGATCGTTCGCCTGCTCAGAGCTCGTGATGTTGGCCTACGGAATCTGCCGGCTGGCTTTCCCACTGCCAGTGCTGGATCCCGTGCATCTAGACCCACTGCTGTTGCTGCGCAGCCACAGTCATGCTGAGCCTTCAGCCCCCGTGTATGGCATGGCCTGACCCGATGTGTCGTCTTCCGTCTCGGATCACATCAACGCTGGCTTCTTTCCACCGGTACACACTTCTAGTCGTCTTGATCTGTCCCTGTTCATCTACGGAGTGACGTGCTCAGGATTCCTTTTGCCACTGCCCGACTTCATCACACCTGGGTCGATGCTGTTGCTGCGGGCATACGCTCGGCTCGGATCCTCTTTGCTTGCATACGGGATGGCGCAGCCAGATTCCTCTTTGTCAGTGCTGGACCTCTGTCAGACTGAGCCGCCTCTTTCAGTGCAAATGTTTGTGCGCCCTGGTTTCTTCACGTCCACCTCCGGCATCGCCAGGTCGGAATCGCTGCTGCCCGTGCTTGACATGATGTCTATTGGACCACTCCTGCCCTTGCAGGCATCCAGCCGAACGGAACTGTCCCTCCCTGTGTACGGAATGTGCCGATCAGACCTCTTTCCTTCCGCACTGGACTTCGTGAAAATCGAGCTGCCGCTGCTGCTCCAAAGCTATGCCTGCACTGGCTCCTTACTGTTGGTTTATGGTCTGGCCTGCTCAGGTTCCTCACCGCCTGTTCTGGACCTTGTTGGGCTTGACCTGCTACCTTCACTTAGGACGTCCTTCAAGCTTGGCTTGGCTTTGCCTGCATATGGCCTGTCACGTCCAGGCTCCTTGTCTCCGGTGCTTGACCCCATACACCTAGACTTGAGCATGTCGCTGCAGGGCCCTTTCTGCACTGGTCCTGTGCTGCTCACATATGGACTGGCACGGCTGGGCCTTCCCCCTTTAATTCCAGACTCCATGCACGCCGAGTTGCTGCTGCCAGTGCGGGGCTTCGTCAGGTCGGGCCCATCGCTGCTTGCTTATGGGATGTGTCGTCCTGGCTTTGCCACGTCAATCTCAGACTGCGTTCGGCCGGGATTGCTGATGCTTCCCCAGTCTTTCGCATGCTTTGGCCTCCTGCTGTTGGCCTTCGGTGTAAGCAAGTTGGAAGCACTGTTGTCCTCGCCTGACCACATACAACCAGAGCTGAGTATTTCTCTGCGGGGCTACTGCCAAATAGGTTTCCTCACGTTTGCTTACGGTGTGTGCAAGCTCGGCTCCCCAATTCTGGTCACGGACTCCTTGCAGCCAGGGCTCTTGCCACCTGCCCGCGGCCTGCTTCGACCAGAACTGCCGCTCCCGGCGTATGGCCTGACATGCTTAGGGCCTCTGCCACCAGTCCTTGACCTGGTACACTTGGGACCTTTGTCGCTGTTGCGAGCTTTCTCCAGGCTTGACATTGTTTTGTCAGCTTACGGCATGACTTGACTTGAGCCTTTCCTGTCTGCACTTGACTATGCTGGCTTGGGCCTCTTGCTGTTGCTGAGGTCATACCTGCAAACCGGTCCGATTTTGCCAGCCTTTGGCATGTCACGTTTAGAGCTGACCTCGCTGGTGCCTGATTCCGTAAACCCTGAACCGGTTCTGTCGCCGCATGGCCATTTGTGCATCGGATCTCCGTCGTCCGTGTATGGTGCGAGCCAGTCAGATTCTCTGCTGCTGGCCCTTGACTCTGTGTGCCTTGGCTTCAGCTTGTTCTTGCGAGGCTCTATTTGACTTGGCATCTCCACGCTTGCCTATGGCATGTCCTGTTCGGACCCGTCCCTGGCTGCACTCGACTGTATTCAGATGGGCTCCCTGCTGTCGCTGCGAAATTTCGTTCGACCCGAGCCTATGCTGTCAGTCTTCGGCATGGCATGCTTGGAGCTCTCGCTTCCTGCATCAGACTTCAGCGAGTTTGGCAGCCCCTTGTCTGTGCAGTCGCCCTTGCAAGTTGGCCTGATGCCTCTGACCTCCGGTCTGACTTGACCAGAGCTACTGCTGTCTCTGTTGGACTCTGCGAATCCAGGATTTATGCTTCCATTGCGTGGGTTCGTGCGCACGGAATCGGCGCCCTTCGCCTTCGGAATGACGTGCCTTGGCAGCTCCATGCTGCTGCCTGACCTTCTGCATCTGGGCTTCTTAACTTCTTTGCGCAGCTCCGTACAAGCCGAGCTCTCTTCATCTCTGTTCGGCATGGTGTGCTCAGACTTGGTGCCTTCGATTCTGGACCCGGCGCACCCGGGCTTGTCTTTGCTCCTGCAAACGCCTGCACAGCTTGGCCTCAGCTTGTTTGCATATGGCATCTTCCGACCTGGTTTTACCATGCCCGCACTGGATTCCCTTCACCTGGGCTTGGCGTCTCTTCTAAGAGCCCATGCTAGATCAGGATCGTTGCTGTCCGCTTATGGAATGGCCAGGACGGGCTCTCTACCGTTGGCTGTCGACTTCGCCAACCTCGGATCGGCCTCGCTACCGAGATCCTTCTTTCGATTGGGCTTCCCCACGTTCGCTTACGGCCTGACGAGGCCCGGACCTCCCACGCCCACACCTGACATGACGGCATCAGGCCCAAGCTTGTCCTTGCAGTCCCTCCTTTGTCTCGATCTCTTGCTGCCTGCCTACGGCTTGACCTGCATGGGCCTGCCTTTGCTGGTGCTGGATTCCGTTCACCTTGGCCTCGTGCTTTTGGCCAGGGGTTTCGCGTGCTCCGGGCCGGCCCTTCCAACCTTCGGCATCACTCGCCTGGGCTTGTCCTTGCTGGCGCCAGATGTCACGAGTTTGGGGAGCTCCACGTCTTTGCAGGGCTTTCTGTGCCTGGGTTTCGTGCTGCTTCTCTACGGACTTAGCCGACCCGAGCTTCCACTCTCGGTTCCAGACTATGCGGTTGTTGGCTTCTCACTTTCGCCCCGCTCCTTTATTTGCTGTGGCTTGTCTTCGCCAGCTTTCGGGATGGCCTGGTCGGGTTTCTTGCCGTCGGTGCCGGATCCCGTGCAGTTGGAGCTCGCGTCACCGGTCCGAACGTCTTTGAGGCTCGGCCTGTTCATGTTCGCCTATGGCTTCGCATGTGCGGGCCTTTCTCTGTCAGCCCTGGATCCTGTCTCAGCAGGTCCTATCCCGCCAACCCAAAGCCTTGTGAGACTGGACCCATCGCTGTTAGCGTCCGGCATGTCAAAGCTCGATTCCCCTCTTCCAACATTGGATCCTGTTCACCTTGGAGCATTGCTGTTTGTGCAAACCTATGCACACCCAGAAGTACCCCTGCCTGTGTATGGCTTGACCCGATTGGAGCTGACTCTTTTGGTGCCAGACTCCATCCACACTGACTTGCCGCTGCCGCTTCATAGCATGATCTGCCTGGGCAGCCCGCCCTTCGTGTACGGCATTGCTTGTCTCGGCCCGCTTCTGCTTGCTTTGGACTTTGTGGGAGCCGGCCTGTCTCCACCCTCACGCAGCTCCTGTCAACCGGACTTGACTCCTTCTATCTACGGCCTCTCGACACTTGGCCTGCCAACACCCGTTCCAGACCTCCTGTGTTCAGAATTTGTGCTGCCTGCCCGTGGCTTCTTACGGGCGGAGCCATCGATGCCGGCATATGGGATGAGCGCATCAGGATTGTCACTGCCCGTCCTTGACTTCGTGAGCGCAGAGTCATCCCTTCCTTTGCAGACTTATGTGCATATGGAGCTGTCGTTGTTTGTTTATGGGCTGAATCGCTTGGACTTGTCCTTGTTGCTCTCGGACTCTGCGCATCTCGGCCTTTCACCGCCCATTCGCGGACTTGCCTGCTTGGGTTTCCTCCCGTTTACGTACGGCCTGACGCGCCCTGACTCGTTGCTGTTGGTGTTGGACATGGCGCATTTTGAGCTGCCGACGCCAACTCGGGCTTTCGCCTGCCTGGACTCCTTAATGCCCGCCTTCGGCATCGCGCGGTTGGGCTCGAGCTTGCCTGCGCTGGATTCTGTCTGCCTGGACAGCACGCCCTCTTCGCGATCGTCTGTCTGGATTGGGTCTGTGCTGTTTGCATATGGGCTTACGTGGCCAGGTCCTTTCGCACCGATCTTGGATCATGTGCAGATGGGGCTCCTCATGCCTTTGCAGGCCTCTGCCCGGACCGGCCTTATTCCTTCTACCTTTGGCGTTTCCAGACCGGCAAGTTCGCCACCTGCGCTCGACCTTTGCAACTCTGGCTCAATGACGTTGCTGCACAGCCTCGCAAGGGCGGGCCTGCCGCTTTTGGCGTATGGCCTATGTCGGGTAGATTTCCTGTCGCTCGTGCTTGACTTTGCCCATCCAGACCCATCGCTGCCACCGAAGTCGATGTCTTACTTGGAGCCGACGCTTCCGGTTTATGGCCTAACATGCTTGGGCTCACCTCTGCTTTTGCTGGACCATGCCCACCTTGGAAGTGCGACGCTCCTGCGCGGCCACACACGTTTGGGGCCGAGCTTGCTGGCCTATGGAGTTGTGCGCATGGAGCTGTCTCTGCTTGCATCGGACCCCATCAATCCTGAGTCGCCTATGCCGCTACACAGCTTCGTCTGACTGGGATCTTCCATCCTGGCCTACGGCGCCAGCCGCCCTGGCAGTTTCTCGCCAGTGCTGGACTCCGTCCACACCGATCCGTCGTTGCCCTTGCAATCTCCCGCACAGCTTGGAGCATCGCTGCTCACCTCTGGCTTGGTCTGCCTTGAGGTGTCGCTGCCGACGTCAGATTTCGCGCAGTGTGGGCCGCTGATGTTTCTGAGGAGCCTTTTGCGATTGGGTCCGGTGATGCTTGCTTTCGGCTTCTCCACCCTGGACTCGACCCTTCTGGTGCTGGATTTCGTGTCCACTGGCCTGACCACGCCGCTGCAGTCGCCCATGCGGCTTGGTCCATCGTTGCTCGTCTACGGCTTGTCCTGCACAGGCTCCAGCCTGCCTGTGTCGGATCTCGTTAACCCTGGCCTTCTAACGTTTGTGAGGGCTTCCTGCTGCTTTGGCTCCTCGCTCCTGGCGTATGGTCTGTTGCGGCCTGGGCCTTCGCCCTTGACCTTGGACATGTCGTGCCCAGACCTTCTGTTGTCCTTGCGCAGCCTCGCACGCATGGGGCTTGCCTTGCCAGCCTACGGCGTTTCTCGCCCGGACCTGTCGTTGCTTGCACCTGATCCAATCGTCTCCGGCTCGCCTTCACTGCTGCAGGCGCCCATGTGTCCGGGCCCGACGACCTTCGCGTCTGGCTTGTCGAGGTCGGGATTTTTGCCTTCTGCCTCAGACCGTGCTTGCACAGGGCCTCCACTGCTTTCGCGCGGCTTCTTTCGCCTGGGGCCTTCGACGCCGACTTATGGCACGGCCTGGCTGGACTCCCCAACGTCGACTCTGGACCTCGTAAACATCGGCTTCGCTGCTTGGCTGCACTATGTTGCACTGTTACCTTTGCACACATGCTGATGCCATGCCTTAATGCCTTAATGCATGCATGTCCTCTTAGATAAACCATGCAACCTTACACGTAGTGTCCCCTGCAAAACTTACCCTTGGCTAGCCGAGGTTCTTTTGATGCGAGCCTTTGTCCACTTGGATGCAAGCTTATCGGTGTACGGACTTTCAAGTCCGGGATTTCTGCTGCTAGTGTCAGACTTCGTCAACCCCGGTAGCGCCTTGCCCTTGCAATCACTGGCTCGTTGTGGCCCCTCTACCTCAGCCTATGGCTTGGCCCGGCTTGACTTCTTGGTTCCAACGTCGGACTCCATGAGCGTGGAAGCGCCGATGTTTCCGCGCACTTCTGCTCGTTTAGACTCTGCGCTCTTGGCGTATGGGTTGGTCTGTTTAGAAAGCTTGCTGCTCGTTACCGACTCCCTTCAGGTCGGGTCTTCCTTGCTGTTGAAGACGCTTGCACGGTCAGGCTTGGTGCTTTCGGCATATGGCCTGGTCCGGCCGGGCCTGTCTTTGCCGATGCTGGATTTTGCCACCTTAGGTTCATCGCTGCTTGTGCAAACCTTCTGCTGCCTTGGGTTTGTGATTCCCACGTATGGTGTCAGCTGCTCGGGATTGCCATCGCCGGCTTCAGACTCTGTGCATACAGACAGCGTGCTGCCGGTGCGAAGCTTCGCTTGCTCTGGCCTCGCTCTTCTGGCTTTTGGAGTGACTCGATCAGCATCCTCTTCACTGGCCTCGGACTTCATGCACTCGGAATCGAGCTTGTTTCTCAGGTCTCCCGTGTGAATGGGCTCGCTGCTTTTGGCCTATGGCCTGGCACGAACAGGGTTTTCCCTCTCCGCGCTTGACCTCATCCATGCTGGCCTTCTCCCGCTTGTTCGTGTCTTCACGCGACCTGAACTCGTTCCTTTGGTCTTTGGCATGTCCAGGTTAGAGCCACTGTTGTTGGCGTTGGACTTTATCCATCTAGGCTCTTCCACGCCGCTGCAAACTTTCTGCAGGATCGATCTGTTCTCGTCCGCCTACGGCACAGCACGGCTCGGACTGCTGCCGCCGGTGCCGGACCTCGTGCATTTAGAACTCTCCATGCTTTTGCACAGCTCTGCACACACGGGCCTCCCCTTGCCAGTTTATGGCTTGGCCTGTCTTGAACTGCCGTCATCGGCCCTGGATTTCATCCACTCGGGTAGCTCACCATTTCTCCGGACATTTTCTCGCCTCGGTGTCTTGGCGCCCGTCTACGGCATGGTATGCTTGGGCTCGACGACGCCTCTGCCCGACCTTGCAACGACAGGGTCAGCCTTGCTGGTCAGACATATGGTTCGCTCCGGCAGTCTTCTATCAGCCTTCGGCATGCTCCGCTTTGGGCCACCATCCTCGGTTCCAGACAGTGAGACCATTGGATCCCCACCATCCATGCGAAGCTTTGCAAGACCGGAGCCGCCTCTGCCAGCACTCGGCACGGCCTGCTCCGATGTGCCGTTGCTCGTTCTTGATTCTTCGGACTCCGGAAGTTCGCTGTTCATGAGATCTCCCGGTACCTTAGAAGCCCCAGCCCCAGCCTCTGGCGCAGGTTGCTTTGGCTCGTCACTGTCTGCCTCCGACCACTTGCAGATTGGATCGGTCTCGCTGCTGAGAAGTCGCGCATGCCTAGGTTTCAGCGCATCGATCTCCGGTCAAGGCTGTTTTGACTTTCTGCCTTCGACTTTGGACTTCCTGCAACCAGCACCGCTGCAGTCACTTCGAAGCTTTGCGCGGGGTGGACTACCGTTTCTTGCCTTTGGAAGCATTCGCCTTGGCTTGCCATCTTTGCTACTTGATGGGCAGCAGACAGGCTCCTCTGCTCTCTTGCAAAGCCTTGCGCGACCTGGCAGTTCGATTCCATCATCTGGCGCAGCCTGATCTGGACCATCTCTTTCCACTTTGGATTACTCAACCCCTGATCCATTCTCGTCCCTTCGTTGTAATGCCTGCCCAGACTTCTTAGCGCTGTTGTCCGGAGAACTGAGAATGGAAGTGAGTATGCCTGCACTAGATTGCATGCATGTAGGCATCCTGCTGTCGGCGAAGGCTCTTGCCAGGCTTGACATCGTTCTGTCTGTGTTCGGCCTGTCGCGATTTGACTCTCCGGTTCCTGTGCCCGACTTCAGTCACTCTGGAAGCACGATGCCGGTCAGGAGTGTTGGCCGACCTGGCTTCGTTTCACCGGTGTTCGGACTGGCGTGCTATGGTTTCTCGGCCTTGGCATCCGACCGTACGCACATGGAGCTTCCTCTGTCGGTTCGCAGCACGGGACGTCCAGAGCCAACTTTGATGGCCTTCGGAATCGGTTGGCCCGACCTGTTTGTTTTGGTCTTGGATGTGGCTGAAATGGGGTTTGCGCTGCTTTTGCGCAGCTGTGGGTGTCCCGGTTCCTTACTTCCCGTGTTTGGTTTAGGCTGCTGTGACTCCTCGTCCTCAGCCTCTGACTTTTCGCTCTTCGAGTCGAGTCTGTCTGTGCGAGGTCTTGCACACACGGACCTGTCCTCGCCTCCCTACGGCATGGTGTGTCCGGGAGCTAGCCTGCTGGCCTTGGATTCTATCAGCGGTGGCCTGGCACCGTTTTTGCACAGCTTCGCTCTTCTCGGCTCGTCCTTTCTAGCTTCCGGCATGACTCGATCTGGACTCCCCACGTTACTTTTTGACTACTTGACGCCTGGTCCGCTGCTGCTCCCACAAGGATTTGGGCAAACGGGCGCCTTTATGTTGGCATGGAGCTGTGCAAGGTCCGAATCACTGGCGCTGTTGTCCGACTACTTGCGATCGGGCCTGCCCACGTCCCCCAGAAATCACATCCGATGTGGCAGTGTGATGTTAATGTCTGGCATGGCAAGAACGGAGGCGACAATGTTCGCATCGGATTGTGAGCATGCAGACTCCCCCATGCCTTTCCGCAGCCACGGACAAACTGGTTTCGCCTCGTTGGCCTCAGGTCGTCTCAGCTTCGGGTCGTGCCTCCCTGTTTTGGATATGGCAACCCCTGATTCCTCGCCACTGCTGCAATCTTCGGCATGCCTAGAGCCAGTGCTGCTAATCATGGACTTTGTAGCTCCAGGACCCTTGCCTTTGCTGCGAAATCTCGCAAGGCCAGGCTCTGCGCTGTCCGTGGTGGGTGTGGTGCGTTTTGGCCCACCGGCCTTCGTTTCGGACTACGTGCTCGTTGGCTTGAGCGTGCCCTTGCGCGACCTCGGCCGCTTGGAAGCTTCCCTTCCCATCTTCAGCGCTGTCAAGGCCGAACCGCTGCTGCTTTTGTTGGACTTTAGCCATTCCGGGCCGATGTCTCCGGCTAGGAGTTTTGGACGCATGGGCATTGCCTCGCTCACCTCCGGAATGGCCTGCTTTGGATCTTCCCTGCCGGCCTCTGACCTGGTCCACGGAGGCCCATCGCTGCCATTGCGAAGCCTCGTAAGACTTGACTCGGCCTCTTCCACTTTTGGTGTGACGCACCTTGGGGTTCTTATGCCGACCTCTGACCACACCGAGCCGGGGTTGCTGTTATTCCCTCGATCACTTGCTTAGCCCGGCTTCCTTCCACCCCTTTTTGGGCAAGCTTGTTCTGGATCCCTCACGTTCGTGTCGGATCTCGCCCACCACGGCCCAGCGCCTTCCTCGCAAAGCCTCGTGAGGTCAGGCTCAACAACATCCACTTCCGGCGCCACGTGCTTTGAGACACCGGTGCTGGTTACGGACTCCACTTCGCTGGGGCTGACATCCCCGGTGCAAAGTGTCGCTCTCATGGAGAGCTCACCTCCTGCGTTTGGCATTGCATGCTCCGGGCTCTTGGCATCTTCGCTTGATTACCTGAATCCCGAGCCGACAATGTCAGTGCACAGTGTGGGCTGGTTTGGTTTCACCGTGCCAGCAATGAGCAGGGTCAGCTTGGGTTCCCCTCTCTTCGTGCTTGACTTCGCGTATTTTGGCAGCCTTATGTTGGTGAGGTCTTGCTGCCGGTTTGGCCCGGCTTCTTCAGCCGCAAGCTGTGGTCGCTCTGACTTCCCTCTGCCTGTGCTTGACCTTCTGCACCTCGGCGCCTTCTTGCTACTGCGATCTGCGGGGCATCCAGGATCCACGCTGCCGGCCATGTCTGCGGTGCGCTTCGGCTTGACGTCAAGCTTGCTGGATGCTTTCAGCGCAGAGCCCTCGCCAACTACTCGATCCTCTGGACGTCCTGACTTTGCCTCAACCGTTATGGGCGTGGCACGTGCTGGGCTGTTGCCTTTGGCTCTGGATTTCGTGCAGCTCGAGTTGCCTTTGCTTTTGCAGTCCCTTGGCTGGCCAGGACCTGCTCTGCTTGTCTCGGATCTTTTGCATTTGGGCCTCTTCTCGTTCTTGAGGGACCGCGCTCGCATGGGTCCCGTGGTGGCAGCTCTCGGCATGACCCGCGTGGCCTCGTTGATGCCGCCTTCGGACCTCGCCATCACCGGCCTCCCTCCGCTTGCACGAAGCACGGCACGGCCCGGTTTGGCCCCGTCCGTGTTGGACTTCTTGGTCCCGGGCTCTTCTTCGCTGGCCCGGAGCTTTGCCAGGTCAGAGCTGCCCTTCTCTGCCTTCAGCGGCACACGCTGCGGATCTTCCGCTTCGGCCTCGGACTCCACTGCTTTGGGCTTCTCCCCGCCACAGCGGAGTCGCGCACGTCCGGGCCTTGCTATGCTCCTGTTCGGCTGCGCCCGTGCTGGCCTTTCAGCGTCCGTGCTTGATCCCCTGCATTCGGACCCGTCAGTGCTGCTGCGGTCCTTTGCGCAATCAGGTCTGGGCTTCTCAGTGTTCAGCCGGGTTAGCCTGGATGCTTCGCTGTTTGCTCTGGATTTCGTGGACCTTGATCCGCCTCTGCCACTGCACAGCCCTGCATGTGCCGGATTCCCTGCCTCTGTCCTTGACTTCTTGCAGATGGGGCCCTTCACGTTCATTCGAAGTCTCAGTTGCCTGGGCCTCGCCGCGTTCGTGTTGGACTCCTTGCATCTCGGGCCGCCGCCTTTTGCCCGTCGCCTCGCGAGGTCTGGTTCGACGGCTTTGCCCCAAAGCCTCGCACGAACAGACTCGGCCTTTCCTGTTTTTGCTCCGATCCGGATGGGCCTTTCACCCTTTGTTCCTGACCACACTCACCTGGGCCCTGTCCCGTCAACCCGCAGTCCTAGCCACTTGGGCCCTCCAACTTCAGTGCCGGATTCCCTGCGTTTGGGCAGTGCCATGCTGCTGCGATCCCTCGGCCGCACGGGCCTCGTCTTGTCTCTTTCTGGCCTCGGCTGCGCCGGCTTGCTGTTGCTCGTGTTGGATCTTGTCGATGTAGGACCGGCCCTGCTGGTGAAGAGCGTGGCCAGATCGGATGCCCCGATTTCGACCTTCAGCAGGACCAGCATGGAATTGCGGTTGTCTATTCCGGACTCCACCAGTTTGGGAGTGCTAATGCCACCACAAAGCATGGGCTGATCAGGGTCAGGCTCCTCCGTGTGGAGTGCTGCACGCTTAGGGCTGGTGATTTCTACTTGTGACTACCTCCTACTGGGGTCTCCTCTGTCCCTCCGGAGCCTGGCACACTTTGGTCTCATCGTGCCAATTTCGGATTTGCTGCAGCTGGGCCCATCAACGTTGCTGCAGTCCTATGCTCGCCTCGATTTGGCTTCGTCGGCCTCTGGCAAGACGTGGCCGGGCTTGCTGTCATCGGTGCCTGACTGCATTGAGACAGGCCCTTTGATGTCCATCCGTAGCTTTGCATGCTTGGGAGTCTCCCCATCTGTCCTGGAGTCTGTTAGGTCCGATCCCTCTCCGTCCTTGAGAGGCTATGCTCGCTGTGGCTCGACTGTTCCAGCTTCTGACGCGGCGCGCTCCGACCCGATCCCACTCATCCTCGACTCCGCGCAACTGGACATATTACCACTGCTCCGAAGTACAGGATGCTTGGGCTTTGCGGTGCTGACTACGGGGATGAGCTGCTTGGGCTTAGCGTTGCTTGCGTCAGATCTCACCACGCTAGGGTTCTCGATGTTTGCACAAAGCTTTGTGCAGCTGGGTTCTGCTACGTTAGTCCTGGACTTTGTTCGACCGGAATCGTCCCCATCAGCTCGTGGGCATACTCGCCTCGGTTTGGTTACGTCGCCGTTTAGCAGATCCAATGTGGAACTGATCTTGCCCGCCTCGGATGTCTCCGAATTTGACTCCACCTTTCCAGCACGCAGCGCGGCACGTGCTGGCTTCGCCTTGTCTTTGTCCGGTTGCGCACGGTTCGGGCCCTTTGCTTCAGTTCCAGACCATGTGACGACCGGACCACCGGTCTCGGTTCGAAGCTTTGCAAGGTCAGGCCTCGCGATGCTTCCCCTTGACCTTTTCCGCCTCGGATTGCTCACGCCGATGAGGGGCCATACATGACCAGAAGCGGCACCGTCGATTTCTGCTGCAACTCGACTCGAAGCGTTGCTTCTCGCTTCAGACCACATTGAGTTGGACTCTCCTCTGTTGGCAAGATCCTGCGTTTGGCTTGGCCTACTTCCTCCTACACCGGATTCTGCATATCTTGGCTTGACGCTGTCTCTGAAGGGCACGTCGTGCCTGGGCTCTGCTCTTCTGGCATTTAGCAGAGCTCGATTGGGACTTTCTGCGCTGGCTCCGGACTTTCTTCGTTCAGAGTCGATCATGTCTCTGCAAAGCCTCGGTCGCTTCGGCCCTGGAGTCCCAGTCTTCAAGGCCGCATCGCCAGGGCCAACGCTCTTTGTCTCTGACTGCACCGAGCTGGAGTCGGCGGTGCCATCGCAGTCCTTTGCTCGCCTTGGCTCCGCTTTCCTTCTCTTTGGAGCCATGACACCGGGCTCGGTGCCTCTGACTCCAGATGTTACGGAACTAGGCAGCACGCCACCTCTCCGCTCATGTGCACGTCCCGGCCTCGCGCTGTCCCTCTTCAGCTGCACTCGCTCTGAGTTCTCGGCCTCAGTCTCCGACCTTCTGCATCTTGGGTCTCTGCTTTCGCCTCGTTCCCCGGGTCGCATGGGGCTTCCGGTCTCGATGTTTGGCGCCGCCTGCTTGGAGTCGGCTGCGCTGACTCCTGACACGACCCTCCTTGAATCTGCCACGTTGCTCCGATCTACTGCTCATCTGGGCTTCCTGCCTCTTGCTTCTGACAGAGTGAAGTTCGGTTCCCTTCTGCCCGCACTGGACCTTGCAGAACTCGGCTCTGCTGCGTTTCTTCGAGGCCGCGGTCACATGGGCTCGGGACCTTTGGCCTTCGCCTTCGCGCGCTCGGGCTCGATCTCGTCGGCGTCAGACGTGGCGGAGCTGGGTTCGGTTCCGTCGGTTCGAGGCTCCCAGAGGCTGGAAACTTCGATGCCGACTTCCAGCTGCAGTCGGTTGGAGCTTTTCGCGTCGACCTCGGACTTGGCTCATCTCGGCTCCATTTCGTCCGCACGCGCCATGGCGCGCCTGGGGCTCGCTTTCTCGGTGTCTGGCGTGGCTGCCTCTGGCTTTTTCATATCAGCACCGGACCTCCTGGAGCCGGGCTCGCCTCTGCCCGTTCGAAGCCTCGGGCGAACGGAGCCGGCAGTATCCACTTCTGGCTTCTGCAGAGCGGGTTTCTTCACATCTGCGTTTGACAGTGCTCACCCTGGATCGATCCCGCCGTCGCAAAGCTACGCCAGCTTAGGGCTTCTGACGCCTGTCTTCGGCCTCTCCAGACCGGGCTTCTTGACGGTCGTCTCTGACACGAGCTTCTTTGGGTCGACTCCATCGCCGCGCAGCGCTGCTCAGCCTGGCAGTACCATGCCGGCATTCAGCTTCGCAAGCTTTGGATCTCTCCTTTTGGTTTTGGACTGTGCAGAGATGGGCTTTGGCTTACCGGCAAGGAGCATGGTACAGCCTGGGCCTGCATTTCTGGCCTTCCGCTCCGTGACCTTTGGCTTTCTCATGTCGATCCTGGACTCCACGCACTCTGGCTCCACCTTCCCTGTCCGAAGCTTTGGGCTTCTGGGCTTCGGTCTGCTTTTGTGTAGCAACGCCTGCTCTGAAGCTCCGCCTTCCGCTTTGGATTTCACGAATCCTGGCCCATTCTCGCTGGTTCGGAGCGTGGCACGTCCTGACTCCGCGGCGTCGACCTGCGCAAGTGTTCGCCTGGGACTTGCAATGCCGATCCTCGACTTCATGCAGTTGGAGCCGCCGTTGCCCTTGCGTAGCCATGCTTGATTTGGCCTGGCCGCCTCTGTGTCTGGCGAGTCACGGTCTAGCAGCTTCCTGACAGTAATGGACCTTGGGCATCTGGGCTTTGCTTTGCCGCTAAGGTCTCGTGCGTGTTTTGGTTCATCCTTCTCTGCATCCAGCGCCAGTCGATCAGAAGCCTCCATGCTCGCCTTCGATTCTTTGCACCCCGGTTTTGCAGTGTCGCTTCGTTCGTCCGGCAGACCGGGCCCAAATCTTCCTGTCTTTGGGACGGCATGATTTGGTTTGCCTTCGTTTGCTCCAGACCCCGCTGGCTCCGGCTTGACGTCGTTGCTCAGAAGCCTCGCAGAGTCAGGCTCTGCAGTGGCGACGTCTGGGGTTTCGTGCATGGGCTTTTCGCCATCGGTGCCGGACGCCACTTCTCTGGGCCTCTTGCTGCCTGCGAGAAGCGTCGCCCAACCGGAAGTCTCCGTCTTCTTGTTTGGGCAGGCGCGCCTTGGGCCGATGGCTTCGATATCTGATTCTGCTCAGGTCGGCTTCTCTCCCTTGGTGCGCTCCCCCGGATTGCTTGGAGCGTCCTTGTCGGCCTCTTCTGCAGTGAGACCCGAGCTCTTCTTGCCGGTTTTGGATCACGCGAATTTGGGCCCAGCGCTCTTTTTGCACAGCATGGCCCGGCCCGGGCCGTTGCTCTTGGCCTCGGATTTTGTGAAGCTTGAGTTGCCTCTGCTTCCGAGGAGCACGGCTCGGCCGGGCCTGGGCTTCGCAGTTTTCTCGATGTCGCGCCTGGAGCCGATCCTTTTTGCCTCTGACATGACTGCTCCGGGCAGCACGCTCCCTGTGAGGGCCGCTGCGAGGCTTGGGCCAACGTTCTCGGCTTTCGGCTGGGCACGGACGGGCTCCAACTTGGCCGTTCAGGCCTTTGCCAAGCTCGGCAGCACCTTGCCGGTTGTCGGTCGGACACACTCCGGCATGTCGCCCTCAGTTCTGGACTTCGCGCATCTCGGGTCGGCGCCGTTTCCCAGATCCTTCGCGCGATGTGATTTTGCGTTGTCCGCTTTGGACTTGCTTGCAACAGGTTCGCCGTTGCTGGTCAGAACCTCTACCCAGCTGGGTCCATCGTTTTCGGCCTTCAGCCGGGTTGCTTTGGGATCCCCGACCTCGGCTTCGGACTTTTTGCACACGGACTTCACAGTGCCATCAAGGAGCTGCGGTCGTCCAGGTTCTGCTGCGCTGACGTGGGGTCGTGCAAGATCCGGGCTGCTGGTTTCGGCCTTTGACTTCCTGCAGCTGGGCTTCTCCGCCTCCTTGCAGTCCATGGGCAGGATGGGATCCTTCCTGTTTGTTTTGTCCAGGGTTCACTCCGGCTTCCTGCTGCTCGTCACGGATTCTGTTGTTCCGGATAGCTCGCTTTCGCTGCAGTCCCTCTCCTGGTCAGGCTTTACAGCTTCTGCGTCGGACTTTGCCAGGTTTGACCCCACCTTGTTGATCCGAAGCATGGGCTGCCTTGGCTTCACGCTTCCGGTGTTTGGCAAGGCCCGGTCTGGCCCATTCATGTCCATTTTGGATTTCTTGCATCTTGAAGCGGCTGTATCTTCCCAAGGGCATACTCGTTTCGGGCTTGCTCCGTCAGTCTCCCGAGCCACACGACTGGGTTTCTTGTCGCTGACACCGGACTGCGCAACTCCGGAAGCTGTCCTGGCATCACGATCTTTCGCTCGACTTGGTCTTGTCCTGCTCCTGATAACTACGGCCAGGTTTGACTCTTCGCCTTCGGTGTCTGACTTCCTCCATTCAGAGTCTCTGCTGCCGACGAGAAGCCTCGCACACACCGGTCCGGCCGCCTCGGCTGTGAGCCGTGTCCGCTCCGGCCTCTCGATGCTGGTCCCTGACCTTCTGACGTCGGGCAGCTTTTTGTTGTTGCGAACTTTCTCACGCTCGGGCTCTCCGACCTTGGTGCCCGATTTCGTCGGGCCGGGCTCTCCGATGCTCGCGAGGGCCGCTGCTTGCCCGGGGCCATCTTTGCCCGCTCTCTCGACGACTCGCCTTGGTCCGAGCCTGCCTTTGCTGGACCACGCCTTGTTGGGCTCCCCGCTGCCTCTTCACAGCCTTGGGTGATTGGGGCCGTCAGTGTCGGCCTCGGACTCCGCGCGATCGGGCTCATCACCCTTTGCACGAAGCTCTGGCTGCCTGGGACCAGTCTTGCCGGCAATCAGCATATCATGGCTGGGGCCACCATCGCTGACTTCAGATTTCGTGGAGTTGGACTCTGCCTTGCCGATCCGCAGCTTCGTAAAGCCAGGCTTCAGCCTGTCAACTCTAGACTCTACTGAGCCGGGCTCGTTAGCATCGCTTCAATCGCTTATGCAAACGGGGCCAACACCCTCAGTCCTCGGAATCGGAAGGCTCGACTCATTCCTGTCCGCACTTGATCTTGTTCACCCAGACCTGCCCCTCTTGCTGCGAAGCCACGCTCACCTGGGTTTCTCCCTGTTGGCACCTGACCCTCTTGATCTGGGGCCGTCTCTGCCTTCGAGGTCGCATGCACACTTCGGCGCCTTGGCAGCAGCTTAGTCCTGTCATTCACTTCTTTGAGAAAGTTGCTTGCTGTGCCTGCTAAGCTCTGGCTATTGCGCAACGCAGTGGTCGGTCGATGCCTGCCTGCCTTGCTGCCTGCCTGCCTGCCTGCCCACATACAGGCGGACAGACAAACAGACAAACAGACAAACAGACAGACATACATGCAGACGTGCTTGATTGAATTGCATGCTTTGCCCGCTGGCTGGATTGCTCCCGTTCTCTTTTGCTCACTTGCTCGATCGCTGGCTTGCTTGCGTGACGGGTGACATGCTTGCATACGTGAATCATTAACTACATACTGTAGACATGCAGCGTAGCTTGATACTGCCCAGGTCCATTGGTTTATGGAACTCATGTGTGTCTGTTTTTTGCATCGCATTGCAGTACATGCGCGAGCTTGTAAGGTCCAATGACGTCCGCTGCTGGCAAGGTACAGGTTGGACTTTCCCTGCTTGCTTTGGATTTCTTACATCTCGACTTCTCATCGTCCCTGCACAGCCTTGTGCAGCCTGGATTTCCCTTGTCTTATCTGGACTTTTCTGAGCCTGGATCGCCTGTGCCAACTCGTAGTCACGGGAGACTTGGCCTTCTGATGCTACCTTCGAGTGCCTCGCGACTCGAAGTCCCGTCGTTGCTACCGGATCCTGCAACACTTGAAGCACCTGTGTCGGTTCACAGTTCTTCCTGTCCGGAGGCAGCCGCCTTTGTGCCTAGCCTTAGCCACTTAGGACTGTCGCCTCCGCTTCACACCCTTGCTCATTCAGATCTCGCGCTGCTGGTGCTAAGTGTATCTCGATCAGAAGCGCCCCCTCTCGTGCTGGATCTCGCTGTTCTTGGCTTCCCGCCTCCACCAAGAGGGCCTGCTCGGCTGGGACCGGTGATGCTGATTCTGGATCTTGCAGAGACAGAGCCGCTGCCGCTTTTGCGAAGTCACTCCCGCCTCGAGCTCACAATGCCCGCCATTGGCTTAGCCAGGCTAGGATTGACACCCTCTCCACTGGACTCTGTGAACATGGGACCTTCCATGTTGGTTCGACAGATGGTGCGGCTCGGGCCGTTTGCATCAGCATGCAGGATGGCTTGGATGGGCTTCAGCTCTTCAGTGCTTGACTTTGGTAACCCAGACACCTCCCTGCTGGTTCAAAGCCCAGCGCAACCAGACTTTGCGTCCTCCGCCGTCGGAGTGGTGAAAATTGATTTTGCCTTGTCAGTATTGGATAATGCGCTGACTGAGCCGTTCCCTCCGGTCCGAGAGTTGGTTCGATCAGATTCTTCCACCTTGGTTTTGGGACTGGCTCGCCTGGGCCCATTGCTGCTGGCGCCAGACCCTACAACCGTTGGTGTGGCTTTGTCAGTGCGTCAGCTTGCTCGATCGGAGTCGCCCGCGGCTTCGTCGGGAGTCAGTCGGCCGGGCTTCTCGCTCTTCGTCTCGGACTCTGTGCAGATGGACCCGTCCTTGCTTCCACATAGCCCTTCGTGAATGGAGCTCGTGCTGCCGGTGCTGGACTTCCTTCATCTAGGCGTGCCCCTGCTCTTCCACAGCACGGCTCAGTACGGATCCTTCATGTTCGTCTCGTCAAGGGTCCGGGTTGACTTCTCGCTGTTCGTTTTGGACCGGTTCATTCCCGGATCGACATTCCCTCTCCACGGCTTTTCTCATCCCGAACTCTTGATGCTAGCGCCTGACTTTGCCCGGTCAGGCTCCCTTTCGCCAGTGCGCAGGCATGCTTGAGTGGGAGTCGGACTGCCTGCTTCTGGCTTGGGCCAGTTTGGTTTTTCGCCTTCAGCGCTGGACTTTCTCCACTCAGATCTGATGTTGTTTGCTAGATCCATGGCTCATCCTGGGCCGTCTTTCCCTGCAGTGAACAGGGCTCGCTTTGACAGCTCCATCCCGGCCTTGGACTTCGTGGAATCCGGAGCTTCTGCGCTGATTCGGAGTTTGGCGCGCTCAGGCCCCACCTTGCTTCTATCGGGAAGAGTACACCTTGGCCTCACCATGCTGATCGTGGACTACGCGTTTTCGGGCCCGGCGCCCCCAGCCCGCTCCTTTGCGCGACCAGGTCTTCCCTCCCTGGCATTGAGCACTGCAAGGACGGGATCCTTGCCTCTTGTGCCGGATTCCGTGGTATCGGAGGCCTCCCTCTTCTTGAGGGGCTCTGCTTGTTTGGGCTTGAACCCCTTGGCCTCGGACTTCGCCCGTCTCGGCCTCTCCTCATTATCACAATCCCGTGCTCGTCTGGACCTCACGCCTCCTTCGTCCGGCCTCGCCAGATCCGGCTCCTCGACGTCTGTTTTGGACTCTCTGAGGCCAGACTCGCCGCCTTCTCCGCAGTCCTCCGTGCGCGCGGCGCCCTCGCTCTTGGCCTCTGGGAAAAGTCAATCCGGCCCTCCAACGTCCGTGCCGGATCACCTGGGACTAGAATCCCCGATGCTGCTTCAAAACGCTGCTTGCGCTGGGTCATTCCCATCGGTGATGAGTTGCTCAAGGTCTGAAGCTTCTGCTTCCATATTGGACTGTTTGCACCCTGGCTCCTCAATGTTTCTCCACAGTTTCTGCTGTTTGGGCTTCGCCTTGCCAGTGCTCGACTTGGCTGTCTTTGGCTCTTCGCCGTCTGTTCGCTCCTTCGCGCGACTCGGCCCAATGCCGCTGACCCCGGACTTTGCGCAGCTCGAGTTGTCGGCGTCGACGCGAGCAGCCACACAAATGGAGCTTGCGATGTTGGTTTTTGGGAGATCCTGCTCGGAGCTCACGCTGCCGGCTTTGGACTTTGTGTGCTCTGGCCTGAACCTGTTTCTGCAAAGCCCAGCCTGTCTCGAATCCTCACTACCGGCTTGCAACTATGCAAGACCGGGACCAAGCATGTCCTTGAGAAGTATGGTCCAACCTGGCCTGCTGCTTTTCGCTTCTGACTGTGTTCGTTGTGGATCGTCTCTGCCGGCCTTAGACCTCCTGCATTCAGCTTCGCTACTGTTTGCAAGGTCAGTTGCGTGCAGCGGATCCTTTTCGTCTGTCTTTGATGCGGTTCGTTTTGGATTCCCACTCTTTGCTGCGGACCTTGTGCTATGTGGCCCAGCTCTGCTTCTGCGGTCACTCGCTTGCCTGGGAAGTCCCGCGTCTGTCTCGGACTTTATAGAGCTCGAGCTGTCGATGTTCTTGCAAAGCTTCGCCCGTTCGGGTCTCAGCATGCCAGCTTTCAGCCGTGTGATGCCTGAGCCGTCCTTGTCAACTCTTGATCCCGCTCAGTCCGACCCTGTGCCTTCCCCTCGAAGCTTTGCTCGACCGGAGTTGTCAGTTTTCGTCTATGGTTTAACCTTTCTTGACTCCTTGCCGCCCGTGCTAGACCTCGTGCACACGGGCCTGCCAGCCTTGCTGCGGACCTTTTCGCAGTTGGGTTTTCTGCCATCTGCCTATGGGCTTACGCTGCTCGGCTTCTCCTCACTGGTCCTGGACCCTCTTCACCTGGACTTCACGCCACCCTTGCAGTCCTTCAGCTGCCCGGGATCGAGCTTCTTGGTCTTCAGCCGGTCGACTTCCGGCTCCCTGCTGCCGACCTCTGACTTCGTGGAGTCGGGACCGATGCCTCCGCTTCGAAGCTTCATGCGCTTGGGCTCCACTTTGTCGATCTATGGCATTGCTGAGCCGGGACCTTTCTTGTCTGCTTTGGATTTCGTCCACACGGGTTTCTCGTGCTCACTACGCTCCCTCGCTCGACCGGAGCCCGCTTTGTCGGCCTATGGCATGACGACCTCGGGTAGTCTGCTGCCGGTGCTTGATTCTTTGCGCTTGGGCTCCTTCATGCTGCCCCGACGATTCGCCTGTTCGGGATCTTCCTCGTCCGTCTACAGTCGAACACGGTCTGGGTTCATGCCGTTGGCCTCGGATCTTTTGCACCCGGGCCCGGTTATGCCCTTGAGATCCCTTTCTCGATCAGACGTGGCCGTGTTGGCCTCGGACTTCCTGTACCTGGGCCCCACGGTGTCGACGCAGTCTTTCAGCCGACCGGGCTTGGTTGCGTCGGTCTCAGACCTCTTGCACTTGGGCTTGACGCCACCCTTGAGATCTCGTTCATGCTTTGGCTCCATTTCATCAGTGACAGGTCTGGTGCAGCTGGGCTTTCTGCTTTCAGTCTTGGACTGGGCGCAGTTGGGCTCCTCCCTTTTCCTGCAAAGCCTTGCTTAAGCGGACCTGGCTCCGTTGGCTTCGGACTTCTTGCGCCCGGGCTCCAATCTGCTGCCTCACAGCTTCTCGCACTTCGGCTCGAGCCCTCCTGTGTCCGGTCTGAGCTGTTCCGAGCTCTTGGCACCAGTGCTGGACTTGGCGAACATGGGCTCCAGCATCCTTCTGAGGTCTACGCTTCGTCTGGGGTCCATGTTGTTTTCGTGCGGAAAGGCTTGGCTCGAGTTTCCGTTCTCTGCTCCTGACTTCGTGCAGCCAGGACTCCCGCTCTTCATGAGAAGCTACTCGCATCTTGGGCCTTGCGCGCCTGCCTTGGGCTTTGCGAGCATGGATGTCTCGCTTTCGCCTCGCAGCTTTTCCCGATCGGGCGCTTCCCTCCCAGCCTCGGACTCCTTGCGCTCGGGCAGCTTGATGTTCCTTCAAAGCCTTGTGCGTGCAGGGCTCTCAATGTCGTCGTTGGGGGAAGTGTGCTCGGGCTTCATGCTTCTGGTGTCAGACTCTGTCCAGCTAGACCCCTTGCTTCTCCTGCGTAGCCTTTCGAGGACGGAGGTGCCTTTGCCAGCTTCGGACCACGCGAGACCCGGCGCATTTCCGCCATCGCAAAGTTTCGGAAGGCTCGAAGCCTCAGCGCCTGCTCTGGGGCTGAGTCGTCTCGGCTCCGTCTCCCCCTTACCTGTCACTGATGCTGTCGAGTTTGGCCTGACGCTTTTCGTGCGAAGCCTTGTGCATCTTGGGCCCACCCTGCCTGTGCCCAGCCACGTGCGTTCGGGGAGCTTCCTGCCCCCTCGAAGCACGGCCCGTGCCGAAGCTGCAATCCTTGTGCCGGACTTCTTGCAACTCGATTCTTCCCCGTCGCTACAAAGTATGGCCTGCTGTGATTCGGTCTTGCCAGTGCTGGATTTTCTTCACTTGGGACCAGCTCCTTTGCCCCAAAGTTCTGGTCACTTAGAACCTTCCACGGCTGCTCTTTCAAGCGCGAGGATGGGCTCGACATCGTCTGCTTCAGACTCCGTTCATTCAGGGAGCCCGCTGTTTGCGCGAAGCCTGGCATGGCTTGGCATCTCACTGCCGGTCTCGGATGTGGCTCAGTCTGGACTTCCACTACTTCTGCGCTCCCACGCAAGACTTGGGTCGATGCTGCTCGCTCCTGGATTGACCCGGATGGGCTTCGTATTCTCCCTGCCTGTGATAGAACCTGCGCATTCCGAACTGATGCCGCCTGTTAAGAGCTCTTCGCGACTCGAAGTCGCTCTTCTGACAATGGATCTCGCACGCACGGGCCTCCCGACGTTGCCTCGCGCTTATTCCCGCCCCGGGTTCTTCGTTTCGGCCACGAGCAGTTGCAGGCTCGGTTCCACTTTGCCTATTTCGGACCTCGTCGAATCAGGCTTCGCGCTTCTGCTCCGAAGTTTTGCTTGTTTGGGCTCTGCGGTGTTTGCCTCGGACTTCGCTCGAATCGGCCCACTGCTTTTGCTGCGCTCCTTGGCCAAGTTCGAAAGCTTGGCGTCCGTCTCTGGAGTCAGTCGACCTGACGCATCTTTGTTGGTTTTGGATCGTGTCGGTTTTGACCCCGCCTTCTCTTTGAGAAGCCCTGCGTGTCCTGACCTCACCTTTCTGACAGCAGACTACATTCGATCGGGCCTTTTTCTGTTGCTGCGATCTATGTCGAGGCCGGGCCTTTTGTCTCCAGTGTTTGGAGAAGTGCGGCTGGAGAGCCTACTGCCTGCCTCAGACTTCTTGCAGCTGGAAGTGGCGTTGCCTGTCCATTCATCCGTGTGCCTTGGCCTGAACCTCCTGGTGCTGGATTCCTTGAAGCCGGGCCTCTTCCTGCTTCTGCGTAGCTCTGCCAGGATGGATGCTTTTGTGTTTCCTCTCGGAGAGTGCCGACCCGAACTGCTGCTGCCCGCGCCAGACCTTCTGAACTTAGGACCGTTTTTGTCTGCGCAATCAGCCGTCCGGCTTGAGTTTAACTTGTTAGCCCTGGACCTTCTGCATCTGGGGCCACCTCCGCTTTTGCAAGGCATGAGTTGCCCCGGTGCTCCCTTGCCAGCACTGAAACTTGCTACGTTCGGACTGTCGGCGCTGATCCCTGACCTTGCAGAGTTGGGCTTGGTGTCACCGCTGCGCAGCTCTGCACATCTGGGGTCTCCGCTTCTGGCACTTAGCCTCGGGCGTTCTGGCTTGTCTCTGCTCGCACGAAGCCCCGTCCGCACGGGCTCCGTGCTTCCGGTGCTTGACTTCTTGCGTCCCGGCTTGCCGATGTTGTCACGGTCCTCTAGTCGCGTGGGCTTGCCGACACTCGCCTTTAGTCGAGCAGCCTGCGGCCCATTGCTGTTGGCTCCGGATTCTTTGTACTCAGAACCTTTGCTGCCGCTCAGAAGCCCTTCGCGACCTGAGCTGCTTCTGCCAGCTCCTGACTTCGTGCAGCTTGGTCCGCTACCGCTGCCAAGGAGCTTCAGCCACCTGGACTTCACGGTGCTTGTGCCCGGCTCGACTCGATCAGGCTTTGTATCCTTGCCGTCGGCAACTGAGTGTGTGCAACTAGATCTCTCAATTTCCGCTCGAAGCCTCGGGCGAGTGGGAGCTGTCACGTCGACTTCGGATTCTTTGCACCTTGGCTTCTTGTCGTCTCTGCAATCCCACAGCCGCATTGAGCCTACGTCTTCAGTCTTGGGAGAGCTGCGCCTCGGCTCACCCCTTTCGGTGCTTGACTTCACGACCTTTGAGTTCTCTGCGTCGCTGCAAAGCATGGCCCGCTTTGGCTTCATGACGTCAGCGCTCGATTCCCTGCATCTGGGGTCGCCGCTGCTTTTGAGGTCCTGGCTGCAAGCTGGAGCAATTCCACTGGCGACGAGCAGTGTGCGCTTCGAACCAACACTCTTCGTCCTTGATCCTGTGCACTCAGAACCCATGGTGTCGCCCCGGAGTCTTACTCGGCCTGGCTTGATGTTGCTTGTCTCGGACTCTCTGAAACTTGGTTCGCCCCCGTTTATGCAAAGTCACAGTCGCTTGGGTTTCGCAGCGTCCGTCTCTGGCAGGATGCAGCTTGGGTTAACTCTGCTGGTGTCGGACGCGTGTGGCCTTGGTCTGGTGCTGCTTCTCCGAAGTGTGGCGTGACTCGGCTTCGCTGCTTCGGCACTGGACTTTCTTCGGCCTGGCTCTTCTGTTCCATTGCGATGCCTCAGCCAACTAGGCGCATCCTTCACGGCCACGAGTGCAATTCGGTCAGGGTTTTCCCTGTTCATCCTGGATCCCTCTCACTCAGGCCCGAGTGTGCCCTTGCGATCGCTTGCTTGATCGGATGCCTCTGTGCTTACACTTGACCACCTGCAATTGGGCTCGACGTTGTTGGTGAGGTCCTCCATGCATGCAGGTCCACAGGCATCTGTGCCAGATCTCTTGCATCTGGGATTCTTGATGCCATCGCGTTCCCCCAGCCGTCTAGAGAGCTTTGTGTCGACCTATCAGCTGGTTCGGTTTGACCTGGCTTTGTTGACTCCAGACCACTTGAGATCAGACCCTTCGTTGCCTATGCAAAGTTCTGCCAGACCGGGCCCTGCGTGTTTGATCTGCGGAATCGCCCAGCTGGAAGCCAGCCTGTTGGTCCTGGACTCCGCGGACTTGGGCCCTGTACCGTCGCTGCAAAGCTCTGCATGTCCTGGCGCCGCCTTGTTGATCCTAGACTTCGCTAGGCCAGAACCCATCACATCCCTCAGAAGCTACCTTTGCCCTGGCTCTGCACCCTCGGCCTTCTCGTCCTGTCGCATGGGCTTTAGCCTCTTAGTGCCGGATTTTGTGCATTTGGAAGCTGCAGTTCTTCCCAGAAGCCTTGCGCATCCTGAGCCAGTGGCATCTGCTCTGGGCTACTTCCGTCTCGAATCCATGATGCCACCCAGGTCTTTCACCTGAACAGACCTTCCGGTTTCCGTGCTTGATTTCCTGCATCTCGGCCTTCCGACGCCGACGCGAAGCCTTTTGTGTGCTGATCTGCTCCCTCCAGTCCTAGGCCTGAGTCGACCCGGCTTCGTGTTCTTGCTGCCTGCAACTGACAGGGTGACTTTCGGGTCTTCGATGCCCTTGCAAAGCCCCACAAGGGCTGGGTCGGTGATGTCAGTTCTCGATCTTCTGCTTTTAGGGCCCTCGACTTCCTTGCAAAGCTGCGCGCGGATGGGCCCTGCCGCCTTGGTTCCGGACTCCTTGCACTCGGGCTTTTCGATGCTGCCGCGGAACACGGCGCGACTCGGCTTTGCTCTGCCCGCTTTGGGCACGTCGCGCTTGGGGCTTTTGTCGTCGGCCCTGGACATGGCAGTCCTGGGCTCTTCGATGTCCTTGCGGAGTTCGTGCTGGTCAGGCCTGGCAGCTCTGGCTCTGGACTCCCTGTACTTGGGCTTGACCACGCTGTCGAGAAGCCACGGTAGGCTGGGTTTGGCCACGTCTGCTTTGAGGCGCTGTGTGCTGGGGAGCCCTTTGACAGCTCTGGACTTCGCTTATCCGGAGGTGCCTGTGCTTGTGAGGAGCCTTGTCAGGACGGACAGCCCGCTCCTCGTGTTGGACCACCTGCGATCGGACCCAACCTCGCTGCTGCGATCCTTTGCATGCGTGAGCTTTGCCTCACCTGCCACTGGAATGACTTGCTTGGCTTCCGCTACGTCGGCCTTGGATGCTGTGCACCTTGGTCTGACGTTGTCTGCGCGATCCCTCTCACACATTGGACTGGCTCCGTTGCCCATGGACTACATACAGATGGGCCTGCTGATGCCGTCGAAGAGCATCGCATGCTTGGAAGTCAGCGTTCCAGCTCTCGATTTTCTGTGTCCAGGGTCGATGCTGCTTGTGCAATCCTCTTCTTGCATGGGGTTAGTGTTGCCTGCCCTTGATTTCTTGGTCCTCGGGCCAAACCTGTCGGCTCAAAGCTTCGGTTGCTTAGGCTTCCTTGCGTCAGTTTCGGATTTCATGCATCCCGACTCTTTCATTTTTCTGCGGAGCCCTTCGCAAACGGAAGTTGCCCCGTCCTCATCGGACCATGCCGCAGTAGCGTCCTCCATGCTCGTACGCAGCTTCGCACGCCTGGGACTGATGTTTCCCGTCGCAGGGCGCGCTAGGCTGGGCTTCCTTCCGCCGCTCTCGGACTTTACCAACCTTGGCTTCTCGGTTCCGGCGCGAAGCCGCGCTTGATCGGGCCCGTCCTTGCCAGCCACTGACTTCTTGAGATCGGGCTCCCTGATGCCTTCGCACAGCCACACCTGAACGGGCTTCGCGGCCTCCTCGTTCGGCAAGATCAATCTGGGAGCCTTTCTGCTAACCTCGGATCTGGCTCTCCTGGACCTGCCCGTGCCGTCGAGAAGCCACTCCCGAACAGACTCGGTTGTGCTTGCTTCGGACTCTTTGCACTTGGGCTCTTCGACCTCGGCACGAAGTTACACCCGCTTTGGCCCTGGGCTGCCGGTTTCACAAGCTGCACGCTTCGGCTTGCCGCCTTTAGTTCCGGATCATGCCTGTTTGGGTCCAGCGTTACCTGCGAGAAGCTCCGCCAGACCGGGACCTTCCGTGCCGACAACGGACTTCCTGCAACTAGACCTGGCGTTGCTTGTTCGATCGCTCGCAAAGGTTGGCTTGGCAATGCCAGCTTGTGATTTCCTGAGGCTGGGTTTGTCACCCTCCCTGCGCAGCTTCAGCCGATTCGGAAGTATCGCGCCAGCTTCAGGGTTGATGCGGCTTGAAGCCTCGTCGCTGGTATCGGATGTTGTTTCATCGGGCCCCGTGCCGCCATTGCGAAGCTTCACGCATCTGGGATTTCTTCTGCCTGCAACTGACCTCGTGCAGACGGACCCCACGCCGGCAATCAGAAGCTTTGCGTGATCGGAGGCCTTGGTGCCGGTCTTGGACCTCTTACGCCCGGATGCCATGCCTTTGGCGCGCAGCATGGCTCAGCTGGAAAGCGCAATGTTGGTTTTCGGAGTGGGTCGTTCTGGCTTTATGCTTTCGGTGCTGGACTCCATGCAGCCAGAGTTTCTGCTTTTGCTTCGCAGCTCTTGCAGGCTTGGACCCACTTTGTTGGTCTTGGACTTCTTGCGATCGGACAGCTCTCCTTTCGTGCGCTCTTACCTCAGATCCGGCTTTCTTGTGCCTGCGACGGGCGTGACTAGGCCAGGTCTCCTGGCGTCAGTTTTGGACCTCGTGCATCTGGGTCCGGTTTTGCCGCTTCGAAGCACGGCCTGTCCTGAAGCCGCCTCGCCGGTACCGGACTTCTTGCACCCTGGTTCAATGCTTCTGGTGCAAAGTCTCTCAAGCTCTGGCCTACTCACATCACCGCGGATGTTTGCATGCTCTGGCAGCGCATTCTTCGCGTGTGGGCTTTCTCGCGTGGGCCTTTCGTCGCTCGTTTTGGATCTCGTGCTCCTGGACCCGGCTTTGTCGGCCCAAAGCTCGGGATGTCCGGACTTGGTCATGCCTGTCTTGGACTTCTTGCACTTGGGTTTTGCCACCTTGGCGAGGAACCCTGCAAGGTCCGGCTTCCCGTTTCCTGCTTTTGGGGTGTCTCGCTGTGACTCGTCCTCCCCTATCCTTGACCTCACCTTCTTGGGCTCTCTGATGCCTGTCCGAAGCTGTGCGTGACCTGGCTTTCCCTTGCTGACTCCTGATCTTATGCATCCAGAGCTTCCGCTGTTTATGCGATCCTTAGGTCGACTTGAAAGTGCTGCACCGGCCTTTGGAATTAGCAGGATGGGCTTGACGCCTCCAGTGCCCGACTACGCGCTCCCCGGCTCAACATCACCCTCACGCAGCTCTTCGCAACTTGAGCTAACCCCCTTGGTGCTGGACTCTTTGCAACCAGGCCTTACCATGCTGCTCCGAGCCTCCGCGCGAGTGGGCTTCCTTCTGTTTCCCTCCGGTCAAGTCTGTTTCGGCCCCTTTCTTCCAGCGCCAGACTTCTCCGATCCTGGCTCGGCGCTGCCCGCTCGATGCCTTTCCAGCTTCGGGTCGGTTCCGTCTCTGCAAAGCTTCGCTCACTTCGGCTCGGCATCTCCGCCGCTGGGCGTGGCAAATCTCGGAGCTTCAGCTCCGGCTTTGGACCATGTCCTGCCAGACCCTCCAACTCCGGTACAAAGCCTCGGACAATCGGGACTCTCGGCTCCAGTGCTAGATTCCCTGCGTCCTGAATCACCGCCTTTGCTGCAAAGCTCCGGTTGAGCCGAGCTCTTCTTGTTCATGTCTGGCATCGCGCGCTTCGAGGCATCGATGTTCATTTTGGACTCCGTCGCGTGCGGAAGCTCGCCACCCCTGCGGCGTCCTGCATGCGTTGGCCCAGCGCCTCCAACACTTGACTTCCTGCAGCCGGGATCCATGCTGCCACCAAGGAGCCTTGGCCGTGTGGATGTGCCTTTGTTCGTCTTCGGGCTGACTTGCTGCGATGCTTCGATGCCACCTCTGGACCACATGCTTGTGGACAGCGCTCTGCCTCTGCACAGCTTCTCACGGACAGGCTTAGCTTCTTCTGCCCTTGGAATCGCTCGGCTGGCTTTCCCGCCCTCAACACCGGACCTCGCTCATCCTGAACCTCTCCTGCTGACGCAAAGCTTTGCAAGGATCGGGTCTGTGGTTCTGATCCTTGACCTCCTTCACCTCGGGCCGCCGCTACCGGCCCAAAGCCTTTCAAGCTCTGGATCCCTGACGTTGTCGCGGAGCGTTGCCCGATTCGGATCCTGTTCCTCGGCCTTCGGGCTTGCATGCTGTGGTGCGTCCTTCTCCGTGCTGGAATATGCCTTCCTGGGTTTGCCCTTATCTTCGAGATCAAGCGGGCAATTGGGCTTGGCTCCTTCAGTTCCAGACTTTTTGGAACCGGGTTTTCCGCCCTCACTGCGAAGCCTGGCTCGGCTTGGGTTCATGTCGTCGGCAACGGGCATCGGATGTCCAGGGCTTTCCCTCCCAACCTTGGACTCCGCGGACTTGGAAGCCAGCTCATCTTCGCGCAGCATGTCTTGCTTGGGTTCGAGCCTGCTGGCTTTGGACTTCTTGCATTCGGGGCCGTTGCTTCCTCTCCGTTCTTCTGCCAGATTAGGGTTGGTCATGCTGGCCTCTGGCATTGGATGCGTGGAAGCATCGCCGCCTGTGCTGGACTACGCTTTCCTGGGCTCTTCGGTCCCACTGCGATCCCCTTCACGCCCCGAGCCTGCGGTGCCAACTCTGGACATCTTGCATCTTGGCTTCATGATGCTATCGCATCACCTTGCCTGCATGGACCTGCTGCCTCCCGTCTCCGGCTGTAGCTGCTTCGGTCTTCCTTTGTTGCTTCTAGATCTCAGCCTGCTCGGGTTGTCGGCATCACCGCGAAGCCATGCTCAAACCGGTCTGGCCCCTTTGGCTCCGGACTCCTTGCACTTGGGCTCATCGCTGTTCCTCCGGAGCCACATCAGGGTTGGACCAGCTGTCTCAGTCTTCTCGCGCCTTCGCTTTGATTCGAGCCTTTCTGTCTTGGACTTCACACACTTTGACGCCTTGCCTTTGCTGCAAAGCTCCGCACGTGGAGGCCCGGCCTCGCCAGCTTCCGGCATGTTCCGCACAGGCTTTCTGCCTCTGTTGTCAGACTATGCACTCCTTGGCTCGGCGGCTCCGCTGCGCAGCTCTGCATGGATTGGCTCAACTCCCTTCGTCTCGGACTCTTTGCATCCCGGCTTCTTCGTGCCTTTGCAAAGTCATGGCCAAATTGCATCCGCCATCCCGGCATCGGACTTCCTGCACTTGGGCTCCTTGCTTCCTTTCCGAAGCTTCGCTCACTTGAGCTCTTCTCCTTTGGTTTCGGACCATGAGCACGTAGGCTCTTCGATGCCTGCGAGATCCCTCGCCTGACCCGGCTTCGCGGTGTCTGCATTGGACTTTTTGCACCTTGGCCCGAGCCTGTCTCCTCGCAGCCCTGGATGTCTTGGGAGTGCGATGCTGACCTTCGGTAAGGTACAGCCAGGGTCGACTCTCTCCGCCTTGGATTCTGCCCTTACGGAGCCGTCCTTGCTGCTACGTAGCTTTTGCCGTGCGGGTCCGGCGTCGCTTGCCTTGGACTCCTTGCATCCGGGCTTTTCTCCTCTTCTGCGCAGCTGTGGACGCTCGGGAAGTGTAGTGTTGCTTCTTGGAGTCGTTTGCTCCGGCAGCTTTCTGTCGGCCTCAGACTTCGTTTGTTTGGACTTCGCGCCTCCTCTGAGGAGCTCCTTGCAGCTTGAAGCCTTGACGTCAGCCTTAGATCACGCAAGGTCAGGGCTGTCGCTGCTTCCGCACAGTTTGGGACAGTTGGAGGCTGCCATGCCCGCGTGTGGCACTGCTTGACTTGACTTCTCCCTTCCGGCCTCGGACTACGTGCAGCTCGGCCTCGCATCCTCCACACGCAGCCCCGCACGGCTGGGCCCTGCGCCCTCTGCTCCCGACTTTCTGCATCCCGGAAGCCTCATGCCGCTGCGCAGCCTCGTTCGAATCGGTCCCTCCTCTTTTCTCTTCCAATCTGCTCGTCTCGGTGCTTCCACTTCCATCTTGGACTGCTCGGAGATAGATCCTTCCATGCCACTGCGCAGCCCTGGATGTCCTGGCCCGGCTTTTCCAGCCTCCTCCTGCGTGCGTGTGGAGCCGCTGCTGCCGCTGTCAGACTTCGCGCTTCTCGGCTCGACGGCTTTTCTTCGAAGTCTTGCGCGGTCAGGACCTGCTGCGCCTGTTCTTGACTTTCTGAAGCTTGACCTCCTGCTGCCCCTTCAAAGCATGGCTTAGCCAGGACTGGGGGTGCTTGTTCCTGACTTCCTGCACTCAGGGCCCCCTTTGCCAATGCGCAGCCTTTCCAAGCCAGACTTGCCATCGCCTGTGACGGATCTTGCGCATTCGGACCCCATGTCATCTGTACGGTCGTATGTGCGATGTGGCTTGGTAATGCTGATCTTGGACTCCCTTGAGCTGGGGCCATCGTTGTCACTCCGCAGCTTTGCTCGTTCTGGCTCTGCATTTCTCGCTTCAGGCATCGCCCGTGTTGAGCTGCCCTCGCTGACTCTGGATTTTGCACAAGTCGGCCCTTCACCTTCCACTCGAAGTTCCGCTCAGCTGGAAGTAGCAGCCTTTGCTTCAGATCTTCTGCGCCTCGGGCCTTTCATGTTTCCCAGGAGCCATACCTGGCCTGACGTGGCTTCTTCGGCCTTCGGATTCACGAAAGCCGGAGCATCACCTCCCGTGTCGGACTACGCTCACCTGGGCTTCATGACATCCGCCCACAGCTTCACCTGAATTGGATCGAGTCCGCCGGTGCCCGATCCCTTGTCTCCAGAATCCGCTCTGCTCCTGCAATCATTTGCATGTGCAGACCCTTCTTTGCCCATTCCTGACCACGCCCACCCCGACCCCGCAACACCGATCCGCAGCTTCGCACAACCAGGACAGCCTGCATAGTGTTGCGTGTGCAAGCGATGCATTAAGGGCCAGCGCATCCCAAACAATTCAATCAGGACTTATGGCGCTGCCCTCGGACTCTGTTCATATCGGCAGTTCGCTGCTGACCCGAAGCCTGAGCCTCGATACCTGTCGCCGTGTCACTTCGTCTGTGCTTGTGTGGCGGCCTCAGGTCACGCTCGTCCGGATGTCGCTACGTCGGCTCTCGACCTTGTGACCTGAACCCGGAGTCATGCGGAAACCCATTCTGCAACATTCGCTTGCTGCCTGTTGCACTAGTCGTGCCGACGAGGTACATCCCGGACCAACGACAGCAACCAGAAGCTTCTGCTGCCTGGGTACGGTCGTACTCGCCGGTTCCCCAGCGACCCAGCGAGCCAAGAACTTGGATTCACTCTCCAAAGATCTGGCAGAATTACTACATATATATATATATATGTATATATATATATATATATATATATGTGAGTGCGTATATATATATATATATATATAGAGTAATATTCTAGTATACTGCATTTTACTATATGTCACCATATTAATATAGAATATCATATCATATCGTTCGAAATGACACCGTATAGGATTATGTTGCAGTCTATTCTATTCTGCTCTATTCCATTCTGTTCTAGTATATCATAATGTACTGCACTGTATTGCTTGCTTGGTGTATATATATATATATATATGTATATATACATACATATAAATATACATATGCTATGCACATAGTTCTTTAAATCCATAGATATATGATCAAACAATTAAACATGTATACATATACAGATGCATATACAGCATACACATATACATATGTAGAAATATGCATACACTCATACATATGAACCTGTACATGTACATGTGCATATACATGTACATGTACTTATGCATGTATGCATGTACACGCACATATGCATGTACATGTACATCTGCACATACATAAGTTTGCCTGCATACATACGTACATGTGTGCATGCGTACATATGTACATGAGTACATACGTACATGCGTACATACATGCATGCATACATATGTGTATATACATACACATAACATATTTATATGTATGTATGTATATATATATATACATATGTATTATACATGTGTATACATACATTCCTTAGTGAATGTTTGACATAATTTCTTAGTACTTAGTTAGCTAATTACATATTTACTTCTGGCTTCAGTAGTTAATTAATGAAGTACTTTAGCAGTTTATTAACTGATCAGTTTATTTGCTAAGTAGTTACTTTTGTGTGGTCATTAATTTATTCATTTGTTGAAGCATACATACATATATACATACATACATACATACATACATACATATATACCTACGTACGCATATACGGACGTACATACATACTTTTATACGCACCTACACATAGAAATACATATCCGAGCATACTTACAACAAGAGAACAACCTCGAACCCTTGAGGCGCTGGATCCCACAAAGCTTGGACCGTGCTGGCCCCAGTGCTCTCTCAGAGTTTAGATTCCAGCTGTTAATGACGACTTTGTCGCGTCTGAACAGTGAACAATGTTATAATGTGACGGAGGCCTCTGCCGGTGCACAGTCGTGCGTGATCGGGACTGGCACTCTTGGCTTCGGACTCCCTTCATTCGGGCAGCGCGCTGCCTACGAGGATGCCAGGGCACTTCGAGCAAAACGAGTTCAAGTTGAACTGCAGCTTCCTCGCAGGACATCTGGACGACTTGATGCTGCCGTGCTGACCTTCGGGGTGGCTTGCATGGGCCTCTTCGTGTGCCCTGGCGCAGTTCATCTGACGTGAAGTGTTCAAGGAGATCCATCAGTATGCAGGGGGCGTGTGGAGAGGTGTTGGCAGTATTTTCATGTGAATCCAGGCTGATATCGGACCACGTTTACGTTGATTCCCTTGCTTTGCCGCGCAGCTTCACACGAGCAGGCCAGGCATTGGAGTGACAGGGGAGAGAGAAGCAGGAGCGCTGAGTCTTGCTTCGTGAGGCAGTGCTCCTTCAGCGCTTGACTCCTTAGTCCTCGGCTTCACGCTGCTGATCAGATCGCTTGCTCGCCTTGAAAGCTCGGCACTGGTTTTCAGCAGAGCTACACCTGACTCACTGACACTTGTCTTGGACTTTGCGATGCCGGGCCTGTCTGTTTTGATCCGTAGTCTCGCGAGACTTGGTCTTGCTATGCTGGTGTTGGATCCTATCCATACGGAGCCCTCGGTCTCTGTCCGATCGCTCGCCTGTCTTGACGCCACGATGTTCGCGTCGAATCTTGTGCATCCAGACTTCGCCCCGCTTATGCAATCATTTGCCTGTGCCGATGTGTCAGCGCTTGTCCCGGACCTTGCCCACTCAGATCCGATTGCTTCTCCTCGAAGCGCCTCTTGTCCAGACTCCGTGGTGCCTTTGCCTGATTTCGTTCATTCAGAGCCCGTGCTTTTGGTGCAAAGCTCTGTTCGGCTGGATGCAAGTGCATCTTCGACAGATTACGCTCACTCCGGATCCATCTCGCTGATCAGAAGCCCTTCACGCCCCGCTTTGCTGCTGTTGGCAATGGATTTCGGACATCCAGGGCCTTCCTTATCATTGCGCAGCTTCGGTTGTGTGGGCTTCGCCCCTTTGACTTCTGGCCAGGTCCGGATGAGTTTGTCGCTTTTAGTGCTGGACTCTGTAAACTCAGAGGCGGTCTTGTTGCTGCACAGTTTTGCACGCCTTGACGTGGTTATGTCAGCGACAGACTCCGCAAAGGTGGGATCTTCCCTTTCACTGCGGTCTTCTGCACAACCCGAGCTGGCCATGATAGCCTTTGGCATCGTCTGGGTTGGTTTCCTTTCATCGGCTTCGGACTACATTCACATCGGCCTCTTGATGCCCGTTCGTAGCTTTGCTCGATGTGAAAGTGCCGTGTTGGCGTTGGACTCCTTGCACCCAGGCCTTCCGACGTCTTCGAAGAGCTTCTGCCGCTGTGACTCTTCGGTTTTGGCCTTCGGGGCCTCCTGGACCGGCACGTTGTTGCTGTTGCCGGACTCTGCGAATTCGGGGTCCCTGGCGTCCTTGCGGAGCTCGAGCTGCACGGGACCGGCACCCTCCGCCCCGGATCTTTTGCACCTGGGCCCGGCTTCGCCTTCGCACTCCCTCGGCCGCGTGGGTTTGGCTTTGTTGGCCTTTGGCTTGGCACGCATGGACGCTTTTGCATCGACCTTGGACCATGTGCAGGCTGGGCCAGTGCCTTTCTCGAGAAGTGTGGCAAGGTCAGATGCCTCTGCTCTTGCTCTTGACTTTGTGAACTTTGGTTTCAGCACATCTGCACGAAGTTCCGGCCAACCGGGTCTGCTGCCTTCCACACCAGACTGTCTGCACCTAGGCTTGCCTCTGTTGCTGAGGAGCTCGGGACGGCTCGGACTTGCTTTCCCTGCATATGGAGGAGCATGCTACGGACCCACGCCTCCTGCACGCAGCCTCGTGACGCTTGGCTCCTCCTCCCTTCCCTTTGCCACTGGCCGGCCGGGCTTCCTGCCGTTTGCCCTGGATCTTGCTCTCCTGGGCTCCTCTACTCCGACCAAGAGCCCCGCCCGCACGGGCTTTGCCTTGTCTGTTTTGGATTTCTTGCACATGGGATTGGCCTTCCCGACCCGAGCATCCACACATACGGGCCTGGCCTTCCCGATTTTTGGGCAGGCGCAATGTGATCTGCTTCTGCTGGCACCAGACCTCGCTGAACTTGGCCCTGCCCTACCAGTGCAAAGTTTCGCAAGGCTTGACTTGGCTATGCCAACCTTCGACTGCCTCCGCTCGGGGCCCACAACGCCTCTGAGGTCACCCGTCCGCCTGGGACCTGTCGTTTCGCTTTCCGGTCTCGCTTGATCGGAGCTTGTGTTCTCCCCATCTGTGATAGCTGCGATAGAACCGGGGCCAGCGCTCTCCTTGCACAGCATGGCTCGTGCGGGTTCAGTGCTTCCAGTGTCAGACCTCATGTATCTCGGCTTGCTCCTGTCCCTGCGGTCAGGCTCACAATCGGGCAGCGTTCTACTGGTGTCTGGGGTCGCTTGGTGTGGAGCCTTCTTGTCAGCATCGGACTCTGTCCACTCGGGACTTGCCATGCCTCTGCGAAGCATGGCCCACACAGGTCTTGCCATGCTCACACTGGACTGCCTTCGTCCCGAGTCCATGATGCCACTCCGAAGTAGTTGCCGCCCTGGCTTCGCCCCTTTGGCCTTGGATTTCTTGCATTCGGATGCCTTAATGTCACCGCGATCTTTTGGCTGGGCAGGCTTGGCAGCGCTTGCGTCGGGCTGCACTTGCTTGGGGTTCCCTCTGCCCGTGCCCGACCCTGCGGCTACAGGCTCAGTGGTATTTGTGAGGAGCTTCGCTTGGTCAGGTCTGGCTGCTTTTGCACCCGACTTCCTGCACTCGGGGCCAGCTTTGCCAATTCGCTCGCTGGTCCGCTCAGAAGCTTCGCTTTCGGCCATCGACTTCCTACGCCCGGGTTCCTCGATGCCACTGCAAAGCCTTTCATGCGTCGGCTCCGTGTCTTTCGCGTCCGGCGTAACGCACGCAGATCCGCTTTTGTCGGCACCGGATTCCACGCACATCGACTTCGTGCTGCTTGCACGCAGCCTTGCACGTCTGGGCCTCTCAGCGCTTGTGCCAGATTTTCTGCGGCTCGAAAGCCTCCTGTCCTTGCGGAGCTTTGTGCGCATGGGCCTGCCTCTCCCGGCTCTGGACCTCCTTAAATCGGAGGTTTCCGTGCCTCTCCGATCCTTCGCCAGACTTGACTTGGCTGTGCCGATCTGTGGCATCTCTCGATGCGGCTCTCCGCTCCTGGTTTTGGACCACGTCCAGCTCGGCTTGCCTTCGCCGGTGCGGAGCCTTGCACGCACGGGTTTCGCAATGCCGACCCTCGACACGTTGCTTCCTGGTCTCACGATGCTTCCGCGAAGCTCCTCCAGGCCTGACCTTCCAATGCCCATGCCCGGCCTAAGTTGCATGGGACTCGTCTTCTTTTTGCCAGTGGCAAGCTTTGCTCTGCTTGAACTTCCTGTCTTCTTGCGAAGCTTGGCTTGTGCGGAATCTGCCACCTCCGCCTTGGACTCCCTGCATCTCGGAAGCTCGCTTTTGCCGAGGAGCCGTGGTCGTTTGGGAGCTGCAGCATCCGCTTTGGACTCCCTGGAGCCGGGTTTGGCATCGTCTCTGCGCAGCTCCAGTTAACCGGAGGCCCCCTCACCCGTACCCGACTCTATCCACGCGGCTTTTTCCGCGTTGGCGCACAGCGTCGCATGACTCGGCCCGGCTATGCCGGCCTTGGACTTCCTGCATTCGGACTCCGCCGCCCCTGTGCGCGGCTATGCCTGCTCCGATGCTCCGCTCCTGGCAACGGGCATGTTCAGAACGGGCTTTCCTCTGTCGGTGTTGGGCCTCCTGGAGCTTGGACCGGCGGCTTCTCTCCACAGCTGTGCCCGCTCGGCATTCGCACCTTTCATCCTGGATTTTTTGCATCTGGGCCTCGTGCTTCCACCTCACAGCTCGGCATGTGGCGGCTTAGCACCTCCGGCACTGGGTCTGTCGCGCCCGGGTTTCTTCCCATCTGCATGTGATTCTACTGTGCCAGGTGTCTTCTTGTCGTTGAAGAGCCTTGCATGTTCGGAGGCTGCATTGCTTGTATCAGACTTTGCTCGTACTGATTTGTCATTGTCGCTTCAAAGCTCCTCCTGCGTGGGAGCAGCGCCGTTGGTCACGGGGCTGTCGCGCGTGGGTCTCCCTTTATCTGCCCTGGATTGTGTACACCTTGAGAGCTCTCCTCCCATGCAAAGCTCTGGACGCCTCGACTTGGTCTTGCCAGCTCTTGACTCTTTGCGTTCGGGTCCACCACTTTTGTCGCGAAGTTCTGGAAGGACCGGCCTCGCAACCAGTAGCTACTGGAACATGTTGAGTAAGGTATCTGGGCTCCCCATGTGGTAGGCTAGACTATGCTGGAGTGTAGAGTGTAGAGTGCAATGGTAACATAGCTTTTCGGCAGGACTGGTCTGGCCTCCTTCGCATTCGGCACGGCTTGCTATGGGCCGACAACGCCTGCGCGCAGCTCTGGTATCCTCGGACCTGCTCTGTCGACTTCTGGACGCTTGGACAGCACTTAAACATGGAGGCCGGAATCCGAAATCGTCAATCCAAGTTGTGACCTGCATCTGAATCTAAGGCTTGGTGCGGACGGGTTCTCCGATGCCTTTGCCGGACTTCGCAATTCTCGGTCTCCCTTCGCTTGTACAAAGTTGTGCTCGACTCGGCGTCGCCCTGCTCGTCTTGGATCTCGGGCATATCGATCTGCCGCTTTCGTCGCGGAACCTCTTCAGAGCAGATTTGCTGACATCAGTGTTCGGCTGCAGTTGAGTGGAGGCCTCGTCACCAGCTCCCGATCTCGCACTTTTGGAGCCCACGGCATTGCTGCGAAGCCTTGCATGTTCAGGTATCGCAGCGCCAGCATCGGACTCCCTGCACCCGGAGCCAGTGCCGTCTCCGCATTCATTTACCCATCTCGCTTTGCCAGCGCCCATCCCGGACCTCCTGCATCCAGGACCCTTGTCTCTGCTTCAAAACCTTGGACGTGTCGATTCTGCCCCTTTGTTGCTTGGAGTTAGTCGCCTGGACGTGTCACCTCCTGTCTCAGACGCGGTGCATTTGGGGCCGCTCTTATCCCTTCAAAGCTCGGCCTGCATTGAGTCTGCAGTGCCAGCGCCGGACATCCTCAAGCTGGGATCGTCTCTGCCACTGCGCAACCCCGCCAGGCCTGACCCTTTGCCTTCAGTGGTGGGCCTAAGCCGGTCTGATACATCTCTGGCGGTTCCTGACCTGGCACATCTTGGGCTGCTGCCGTCTTCGCGCAATTCCGGGTGTGCGGATCTGTTCTTGCTGGTATGCGGTATGCACCGAACAGACGTGAGCTTGTTGGTCCTGGATTCTGCACATTTGGGCTTCGCGATGTTGCCGCGAAGTTTCGCCCGGTTAGATGTCCTGCTTTTTGCTTCAGACTGCCTGCACCCAGGGCCGATTCCGCTCATGAGAGGACTCACCAGGATGGGCTTTCTGATGCTCGCGTTTGGAGACATTAAATTCCCCAGCGGGTTTGGAAGTGTCAACCTCTCAGTGCTGGGGAGGGTTCGCTTCGGATTGAGTCTGTTCGTGCTGGATCGGGTTACCTTCGGATTCGTGCTGTCAATCAGGAGCCCTAGCCGGCCCGGTTCCAGTGCCTTTGTTTTGGACTTCCTTCGACTGGGTTTGAGCATGTTGCTTCGAAGTTCCACTTGACTCGGCCTCAGCTTTCCGCTTTTGGGCCTCTCGCGGATGAGCTCCTCGTCTTTGACTTCAGACTACGTGCAGCCAGATTCCACAATGCCGGCTCGTAGCCTTGCGCACCCCGGTGCTTCGGTGCCAGCTTCAGATTCTGCAATGGTCGGGTCGATCTTGCCGACCCGCTCCGTTGCACGGCTGGGATTTGTCGTGCCGTCACTGGACCTTACTCACTTCGACCTCCTCCTGTCTCTGCGAAACCATCTGCATGCTGGGCCGATGACATTGCTCTTCGGGCAAGGCCGATCTGATCTGAGCCTTTTTGCACTGGATCTCCTGCATTCAGAGCTTGCCATGTTCTCGAGAGCTCTCTGCAGAACCGGTCCCACGCCCTCTGCCCTGGATTCCTTGCACTTGGGGCTGATGATGCTCTTGAGGTCCAAAGCACAGTCTGGCTTGGTGCTTTTGGTATTTGGCATGACTTGTCTAGACCCGAGTCTTTTCGTCCTGGATGTTGCCCATCTGGGTCCCTTTCTGTTCTTGAGATCGCCTGCTCGACCTGACAGCTCCTCTTCGCTTCTGGACCTGGCCATCTCTGGGTTACCGGCTCCCGCACAAAACTCTGCTCAATTAGAGTTTGTGTCTTCAGCCTGCGGGCTAGTCTGTTTTGACCTTCTGCTACCTGTACCAGACTTTGCTGAGCCTGGCTTGCCGGTGACTCCTCACAGCCTTGCCAGACTGGGCCCAGTACTGGCGGCATGCGGCCGCACTCAGCTTGATCTGTTGCTGCTTGCACCGGACCTTGTGCATCCAGGCTTCTTGACGTTGTCGCAAGCCTCCGCGTGCCTTGCACCGTCGATGCCAGCGCTCGACTTCGTCCAGCCTGACTTGCCCTCGTCGCTTCGAAACCCTTTCTGCTTGGGTAGCCTCGTGCCTTTGCCAGGACTGTCTTGCCCGGGCTTCTGCTTCGTGCTGCCGGTTACAAGCAGCACGCTCCTGGGCTCACCACCGCCAGCGCAAAGCTGCACTCGCCTGGCATTTGCGCTGCCAGCTCTTGATTTTGCTCACGTGGACTTGCTGCTGTTGCCCCATAGCTCCGGCAAGTTGGAGCTGCCAATGCTTGCTTGCGGCATTTCTTGAATTGAGTTGAGTCCACCGGTGCTTGATCCTTTGCACCTGGGCTTCGTCCTGTCCTTGCGTTCGTCTGCCAAGCTGGACTTGCCGGTTTTGGCGTTGGATCTTGTTGGTATGGAACCACTTCTGCCACCGAAGTCCTCTGCAAAACTTGGTTTCGCCTTCTTTGTATTTGGAGTCGTGAGGACAGGACTCATTCTGTCTATTCTTGACGGTTGCCAGGCCGGGTCATCTGTCTTTGTGCGAAGCCTTGCTTGTCTTGGTCCGAGCCTGTCCGCAACAGACTTTCTGAATATGGGTCCACCGACTTCTATGCATAGTCTCGCACGCCTCGGTTCAACTGTGCCCGCGACCGGCATTGCGCACCTTGGGCCTGTGTCCTTGCTGCCGCCCACTGACTGTGCAAGATCGGAACCGTCTGTTTTCATTAGGAGCATGAGCTGCCTCGCTTCCCCAATGCCAGCACTGGACTGCACACACTTTGGATTTGCAATGCCTGTGAGAAGCCTTGTCCATGTCGGCCTGGCCGTGTCTGCGCTGTCTTCCGGACACATGGGGCTGTTGCCATTGATTCGAAGCTGGGCTTAGTCGGGTCCTGGGGTGTTTGTACTGGATTTCTCGCACATCGAGCCAGCGTCTTCCATGCAATCTCTCTCCCATACTGGCCTGACGGTGTTGATCCCTGGCTTGTCTCGGGCAGGCTCCGTCTTCACGCTGCCAGTGACAAGTAGTACTACCTTGGGAGCTGCGCCGCCACTTCAATCGACGAGCAGACTGGGCTTCGCGCCTTTTGCTTTAGACTTCCTCCACATGGGACTCTCGATTTCTACGAGGGTCCATTCACACCTCGGATCTTCCGTCCCGGCCTTTGGCCGGACCAGACCTGGCCCTAGTCTCTTGGTATTGGGCTTTGCGCATCTGGCCCTGTCCTTGTTTTCAAGATCTTCCGGCCAGCCGGGGTCTCCTGCAGCCGCTTTTGACCTTGCAAAGTCAGGGCTTTTGGCGTTTCCTCGAAGCACGTGCAGGGCAGACTCGAGTGTGTCCTTGGTTGGGCTTTCAAGAGTGGGCCTGGTCTTCTCTATGAGCGTGATTGCATTTGCACACTTTGGGCCTCTGCTGCTCGCCAGAAGCCGGGCTCAAGTGGGACCCTCATCGCCTGTGCTTGATTCCTTGGACCCAGAACCATTGTCGCCACTGCGGTCTGCCGCGCGCCTCGGTTCTCCATTGTTTACTCTGGACTTTCTCCACATGGGCCTGTTGGTGTCACCGAGAACTTTCTCGTGTGCCGGCTCCATCCCTTTAGCCTTTGGACTCTCACGCATCGGCCTCGTTTTCTCGCTGTCTTTGGCCGACTTTGCAAGGATGGGCCCTCTGGTTTCTCCCAGAAGCACGGCTCAAACTGGCCTTCCATTGTTGGCCCTGGACTTTTTGCACCCGGGCCTCGCGCTTCCGCCACAAAGCTTCTCTTGTCTTGGATCGCCGATGCTGCTGCCGGGAGCTGAGTGGACGGAAGGGAAAAGGGCAGAGGCAGAGAGCCTTCGAGCGGAGAGCCATCAAGCATAAACCTCGTCGAGGCTTGGACTGTCATGGCTGGGACTCGTGTTCTTCCTGTCGGTTCCGGGCTAAGCGGCTTGCAGCTTTCCTGATGCAGTTTGACTAGTTCGGCTATCAAGGCAGCTGCGTTTCTGTAAAGTCAATGGCCAACACTAAGGTCGTCGCCAGTGCGCAATTGGGCTCTGTCCTTTTGCTTCAAAGCACGGCACGAATTGGCTCTTCTCTTCCAGTGTTCGACCTCCTGATGGTGGACAGCTCGATGTTGTTGCACAGTGCCGGCCCCAGAGAAGCAAGACAGAGAGGCGAGAGGGGAAAGTGTCAGACAGTCAGCCGGATCCTCCTTTTTAAGGAGGGGGACAACAATAACCATGCATTGGAAGGAAGGAGGGAGAGAGGCGAAGCGTAGCGAGAGAGAGAGAACAAAAGCGAGCGACTCAGTGATCTTACCTTGAGGGTGTGTGTTCTGTTTGAGTGTTTTGAAATGTCCTGGACCGAGGCTCGAGCCATCTTGGCTCAGCTTCCTTGGCCTGTGGCATCAGCAGATTGGGATTCTTGCTGTCTGCCTTGGGTTCTATGCATCTGGGATCCCCTACGCCAGCAAAGAGCTCGGCTCACCTCGGATTGGTTGCGCTGATTTTGGATCGCCTGAAGTTGGGCTCACCTCTTCCTCTCCAAAGCTTCGTCCAAGTCGGCTTTCCAGTGTTTCTGGTTGGGCTCTCACGGCCTGGCTCTGTCTCCTCTTTGTCAGTGGCAGAGAGTGCAACTCCTGGCCCAGTGGTGTCTGCAAGAAGCCTCTGCCGAACCGGCCTCGCCTTGTTGGCGCCTGACCTTTTACGTCTTGGCCCACCGCTGCCATCGCGCAGCACGGCGCGTCTCGGCAGTATGGTTTTCTTGTATGGCCTGGGTTGTTCTGGCTCCGTGTCCCTGCTGCCAGTGGTCGCCTGCACACATTCGGACTCCTTTCTGCTGCTGCACAGCATCGGCTGCCCTGGGAGCTCGATTCTGGCTCTTGCCTTTGGACACTTGGGCTTGTCCCCGTTGCTGCAATCATCTAGTCGCCTCGGTCCCGCCGTGGTCGTTTTTGGCGTGACGGATTTAGGAGTGTCGCCCCTGGTTCTTGATTCCTTGCAAACGGGTTCTGCGATTTTTCCCCGGTCACTTACACGTCCCGAGCTTGTTCCTTCTGTGCCTGATCCCTTGCGCCTAGATCTATCGCCCTCTCTTCGGTCATCTGGCCATCCGGACTCGCTTGTGCTAGTTCCAGGATCATCTTGCCTTGGCTTCGTCTTCCTTCTGTCAGTGACTGCCGGCACAACTCTCGACTTTCTTTTGTCGCTTCGCAGCATCGCCCGCCCGGGCTCATCAGCTGTTGCGCCGCGATACGCCCGCACTGATTCGGTGCTGCCTTTACGAAGTCACGGGCGTTCAGGAGCTGGTTTTTCGGTATGTGGAATGACATGTTTCGATTCATTGCCTTTCGTTCCACATGGCGTGCACCCTGGGCCTTCTCCTCCTTTGAGAAGCCCAGCGAGATCCGGGCTAGTTGTTTTTGTGCTGGACTCTTTGCATTCGGGGCTTCTGCTTTCGCTGCGAAGCCACGTCGGATCGGAACTGACTGCTCCTGCATTGGGATTGAGCTGCCTTGACTCCGTGTCCTCGCCATCAGTTACCGCAACTACTCTTCTCGAGCCACCTGCATCTGCTCGCAGCTTTGCGTGCTCGGGCTTGACCCCTCCAGTTTTGGGCTTCTCTCATCTGGGATTCTTCGTGCCTCTGAGAGCCATGGGAAGGCTCGGGGCTTTGGCTTCGACCATTGGCTTAAGCCGCATGGGTTTAGTCTCCTTGCTGTTGGTCGCGGATGCCGTGTCTGTTGAGCTGCCAACGTTTTCGCGAAGCTTTGCAAGGCTCGGTTTTGCATCGTTGGTCACAGACCACACGCACTCTGACTTCCCCTCAGCCTTACGAGGACTCGCTCGTCCAGACCTGGCTGCATCAGCACCTGACTCTCTTCACATGGGATCCTCTGCACCATCCCAAAGTGCACTCCGATGCGACCCAACAGCATCTGTGCCGGGCCTGTCCTGCCTTGGCTTCGTTTCCCCGCTGCCTGCAGCAGATGTTGCGCGGCTAGACCTGCCCTCGCTGTCGAGGAGTGTTGCGAGAACGGAAGTTGCTGCTTTTGTGCTTGCTTTTTCACACGTTGGTCTTCTACCGACTCTTAGGAGTTTTGGCTGTCTCGAAATGGCGGCATCAGTCTGTGGCTTGGGCAGGATGGGACCGACTTTACTAGCTTTGGATAAAGTCACTCTTGGCAGCTCGCCATCGCCACGATCCTCCTCCCAATCGGGATCCGCAGCTTCCGTCTTGAGATTTGCCCACGCCGGTCCGGTCGCATTGTCGCAAAGCTCTGCCTGCGTGGGCCTTGCATTTTTGGCCTCCGGCATCACGTGCTTGGACTTCTCTGTGCTAGTGCCGGAGTCCGTCCACTTGGATGCGGTCTTGTCTCCACGATCTTGCAGCTAACTTGGTGCAGCTTTGCCAGCATCGGACTACTTGCGCATGGGCTTCTCTGTGTTTCTGCAAAGCCACCAGCGGGCAGGAGCTGCCCTATTCGCACCCGGTGGGGTTCGAATGGACTCCTCTGTGCCTACCCCTCAGTTCTGTCATCTTGACGTGCCTTTGTCACCCCGCAGGGTAGGTCGGCTTGACTTCTTGTCGTTGGTCTTTGATTTTCTGTTAATGGGCTCGCCAATGTCGCTGAGAGAATTTGCACACCTGGGCTTCACGGCTTCCGTCTTCGGGCTGGCTCGTTCGGGCTTGGTGTCCCTGCTGCCAGCCATCAGCGTCGCGAAGTTGGGACCCCCATCGCCCCTGCAATCGCATGGCTACGCTGGCTTCGCATCACCCGCGCCTGACTCCCTGGCTCTGGGTTTCCTGGCTTCGCTGCAAAGTCCTGCGCGCACGAGCTCCTCTCCTCCTGTCTTCGGAAAGACATGTTCTGAGCTCCTACCTTCAGCGCTGGACTTCTTGCGTCCAGGCCCCTTGCTGTCTTTGAAGTCGATGTCCCATCCTGGCCTTTCCCTCTTGGTGCTGGACCTTCTTCATCCAGACCCGCCCCTCTCCTCGCAGTCACTTGCCTGCTCTGAATCAGTGGCTTTGGTGTTGGGTTGCACAGAACCCGAAGCGTCTTTGTTGACCTTGGACCCTGCACATATGAGCCCTTCAACTTCAGCTCGAAGTTGGGGCCATTCGGGCCTTGCTGTGCCGACATTTGACTTGCTGAGGCCTGGGTCAGCGCCCTTTCCTCGAAGCTACGGACGTCCTGGCTCGACTCTTTTCGTGTTTGGCATCGCCCGCTCAGGCCCTGTGTTCTTCCTGCCCGTGACCGAGGCGACCACCCTGGGAAGCTTCCCGCCACTTCGACGCTTCAGTCAAGTTGAATTCGCTGTTCCGGCCCTTGATTCTCTGAAGCTCGGCTTTTCTGTGTTGTTGCGTTCTATTTCAAAGTCCGGGTCTGTTGTGTTTGCCTTCGGAGCAGGACGATGTGGCTTGTTGGCATCGGTCCTCGATTTCTCACACTTAGGCCTCCTTCTGCTCTTGAGGTCGCATGCCAGGCTCGGTTCCTTCTTGTCGGTCTTTGACCTTCTGATGCCGGGCTTTTCGACGCCCATGCAAACATTCGCAAGGACAGGCTCTTCTTTGCTTGCTTCCGGCAAGTTCAGTTCCGGGCCAAGTAGCATCCCAGTCTTGGGTTACGTCCACTCCGGCCCGTCACCTTCTGCCCAAAGTTATATCCGGCTTGATCCTGCGGTGTTTGCTTTCGACTTTCTTCATCCCGGCTCTCTCGTTTCACTTCGAGGAAATGCCAGAGCGGGTCTTTTGGTACTCGCATTGGGAAGTTCTCGATTTGGCCCTTTCCTGACCGCCTTGGACTGTGTGAACTCCGGGTCGTCCCCACCCCTGCGAAACTTCGGTCGAGTGGGTTCGGTCTTGCCTGCTTTGGACTTCTTGTGCCTTGACTTGTCATCGTCGCCCCAAAGCTTTGCTCGCTTGGGAGTCTCAGCGTTTGCCTCTGGTGTGGCGAGATTCGGGCCGAGCTTTCTGGTTCCGAGCCTTGTTCCCCTGGAGTTGTCTCCTTCCTTGAGATCCTGTTCTCGCGCGGGCTCTGCGGCACCTGCACCCAGCTTTGGGCATCCCGGCAGCCCGCTTTTCTCAAAGAGCTTCAATCGCTTTGACCCGACGATTTTAGTGGCGGGTGTCAGCCGCCCAGAAGCTTTGCTTCCAGCCTCGGGTTTCGCCAAACCTGGTCTTTTCCTATCCTTGCGAGGTTTCGCTCACGTGGGGTCCGCTGTGTTTGTCTTGAACCTCGCGCATGCGGGACTCGCATTGTTCCTGAAGCAGCACTCAAGGACAGGATCCATTTTGTCACTTTCTGGTAAAGCTTGGTCGGGCTTGTCACTCTTTGTTCCTGGCTCTGCTTTCTCGGAGCTGTCACTGTCTTCGCGGAGTTGCTCATGGGCAGGACCGGCTGTGCTGGTGCCAAACCCTGCCCACATGGAGCCATCGATGTTGCTTCGCACTTCAGCTCGTTTCGGTTCCCTGGCATCAGCTGTTGGTGTCAGTTGCTTGGGACTCGTTCCTTCTGCCCTCGGCGTGACTCACCCAGGGTTCCTTTTGCTCTTACGCAGCTGTGCGTGTCCAAGCTTAGCAGCGTCCGCCTCACAGTTCGCACATCTGGGGAGCTTCACGCTACCCCAATGCTCAGCACATTTGGAGCCTGCTGTGCTTGCCGTCGGCTTATCTTGATTTGGTGTCTTGATGTCAGCCCCGAGCCACTGTCAACTTGGACCCTCTCTGTCACCGCAAAGCTTCGTGTGCACTGGCGCATCAATGGCAGCCTTAAATGCCGCGATTACGGGCTTCGCATTGTTTCTTCGCGCTCTCTCCAGGCTGGACCTATTCTTGCCAGCACTGGACCTTTTACATCTGGGTTTTGCCCTTTTGGTTCACAGCTTCGCCAGATGCGGTCCAGCTTCGTTGATGACAAATTACTGCCGTGCTGGACCACCGCTGTCGCTTCGACAGTCCTGTCGCACAGGATCCTTGGCTCTGGTCGCAGGCTTGGCACGCGCTGGCTTGGTCTTCAGCCTTTCAGTGGTTAACCTGGCCCATCTCGACTTGCTCCTGCCACCACGAAGCCTTGCTTGCCTTGACCCTACGCTCTCGGCATCGGGCGAAAGTCACCCTGACCCATCAGCTCCCTCGCAAAGCCTTTCACACGTGGCGTTTCCACTCTCAGCTCCTTCATTTGTCAAAGTGGACTCCTTTATTCCACTGCGACAGTTTGCATGATACAGCCCGTCGACGCCTACTCTGGGAATTGCATGTTCAGAACCTATTCTGCCAGCTTTGGGTAGCACAGCCTCGGGCGCATCACCGCTTCTTCGCAGCCTCTCACATGCTGGTTTGGCGTCATCTGTCTCTAACTTTGCACAGGCCGACTTCCCTATGTTCGCTAGAAACCTCGCTTGTGCGGGCATCTCATCCTTCGCGGCAGGAATGTCGCGAGTTGGCTCCGTGTTTGTCCTGCCAGTGATTGCTGAAGCACACTTGGAAGCTGTGTCGTTGCTGCAGTCTTCTGGCCGATCGGAAGCCTCTGCCCTGGCATTGGGCCACTGCCGCCTTGGTTCGCCCATGCCTCTCCGAAGCCACAGTCAGCTCAGCCCTGTTCTGTCTGCTATGAAAGTGGCCAGCTCGGGCCCCGCAATCCCTTTGAGGCAGTCCGCTTGCGTCAGTCCACTGGTGCCAGCTTCGGGGATGTTCCGGTTAGAGTCTTCAGCATCAGTGCCGGATTACACAAATCCCGGGTTGTGTCTCCTTATCCGCAGCTCCGCACATCCTGGCTTTGCACTGCCAGTGCCCAGCCCCTGTGAAATGAGCTCGTCGTCTCCTATTCGAGGATACTCGAGATTGGGCTCCAATTTGCCAGCCACGGGCTTGTTCTGTGCCGGATCTGTGTCCTCTCCCCCTGTGACTGAGACGGCGGTTCTTGACAGCTCACTTTTCCTGAGAAGTCGTGCTAGGCTTGGCTTGTCCTTGCCAGTCCTGAGGTCCGTTCGATGTGGCTTTTCACTGCTTTTGAGAGGCCCTGCTCGCCCGAGCTCTCCCTCGCTTCTCTTAGGGATGGCTCGCGCAGACTTCCTCTCCTCGCTGTTTGTGGTGGACGTTGCGAACATGGCCCCTTCGCCTTCCATCAGGTCCCCTGCCCGATTCGAGCCGTCCCTGCTTACACCTCAAAGCTCACTCTTAAACTCTTCTGTGTTGGTGCAGCAATACACACGTTCGGAACTGACGGTGTTGGCATCTGGCCTCTCATGGCTGGGGGCTTCGTCACTTGCTTCGGGTGAGGCTAAGTCGGGTCTGCTGCCGTTTTCACATTCCTCCGCGCACGCAGAAGCTGCTACGTTGGTGTCTGGCTTTTCTCATGTAGGCTTGCTTCTTTTCTCGCGGAGCCTTGGCTGCTTGGGGCCGCCTGTTCCTTTGTACGGCCTGATGCGTGCTGGCTTGGTCTCCTCGCCGCCGGTGGTTGCCATGGCACAGCCCGGGGCGCCATTGCTTCCACAAAGCTTGGCATGTCCAGAGTTCTTCGCGTCGGTGCTCGGTGTTGCGCAAACTGGCTTCAGCTTGCCGTCGCGAGGATGTGCCCGAGCCGAGCCAGAGACTCCTGTACCGGACTACTTGCACCTCGATCTGTCGCCGCCATCACGCAGCTCCTTGCAACTCGACTTCTTCATGTCCGTGGCAGGGAAAGCAGCTTCGGGCTCATTCTCATCAACGTCGGACTGGTCGTCCTTGAGTGCCTTCTTGTCGCTGCGATCTTCCGGCAGACTAGGCTCCAGTGTGTTGGTCTTGAGGTTCACGTCAGTCGACTCGTCCATGTCAACGCGAGCTTTCGCACACCTTGGTCTTTCAGCTCCAGTTTTCGGGATGGCCCGAGTTGGCTTTGTCTTCTTCATGTTTGTTCTGGACCTTCTGCATCTCGACCCGTTTCTTCCCGTTCGTGTTTCTGCTCATCCAGGCCCACCGGTGTTCGTTATGAACTATGCCCGCCTTGAGTTGTTGATGCTGCTTCGCTCCTTCGCACATGGAGAGTTAGCTTTGCTTGTGTTTGGCCTGGTCTGGGCTGATCCTGTTTTCTCGCTACCAGTAGTCAGCACAGCTTCGCTGGGAAGTTCTCCTTTGGTAAGAAGCTTTGTTTGCTTTGAAGCTTCAGCTTCTTGCTATGACTATTCGGCAATTGGCTCGGCCGTTCCCATGAGGAATTCTGCGAGGTTAGGCTTTCTGATGCCTGCCTTCGGCGGCGTACGTTCAGATCCCCCTCCACTTCTCCTGGACTACGCCCAGATCGGTTTGCCAACGCCTGCGCGCAGCTTCTGCAAATCCGAATCATCTGTTCCTACTCTTGCCTTTGGCGGCCCGGGCTTTCTCCTGTTGCCTCGAGCGATGTCGCAATTGGGTCTAGCAGCCTCTACTGTAGGCCTCAGCCGCATTGGGTCGGTATTCTTTCTGTCAGTTGTCGCTGCGGCACACTCGGGCTTCCCCTTGTCTGTGCAAAGCCCTGCCAGGCTAGGTTCAGGCATGCCAGCCGTTAGATGCTCTGCGGTCGGCTCGCCTTCGTTGCTAAGGCACCATGCACGTCCTGAGGCCTTTACATCGACCTTGGGATTGGCAAGGACAGGCTTTGTTTTCTCCTTGCCAGCCATCAGTCACGGTCTCCTGGGCCCGCTGATGTCACTCCGCAGCACCGGTCGTTCGGGTCTCTTGGCATTTGCCATGGGCTCTGTGCATTCCGACTTTTCCACGTCCTTCCGGTCCATGGCTCGCTTGGGCTTCGCCACCCCGACTCATGATATGGAAACCGTAGACCTGACATTGCCGTCACGCGGCTCTGCCCGATCAGGTTTCGCTTCTCCTGTGCTGGGCTTGGGTCGCACAGGCCCATGTTTCAGCTTGTCGGTAGCTGATGCGAGTTGGCCCGGCTCCACGACATCAACAAGGTGCGGGTATTCGGGTGGTAACGGCTTAGGAACTAAAGGCCAGCAGCAGATCTCAGGGTTGCCTGGCCGACTTTGTGCAATGCGTGCATGAAAACTGCTGTTTCAACCACAATTCCCTGGAGGAGCCCTGGATGTGCAGATCCCATGGCACCACCCTCGAGTTTCGGCACTGCTGGCTCGGCTGTGCTGTTGCGAAGCCCTTCTCGAGCGGGTGCCGTGGTTTCCGTCTGCGCGTCCGGAGCTGAGAATTTACTTCTCACCTAGAACACTGAACACTCCTGAAAAGACAAGTCAGGTTTGCGCATCTCGGATCTCCATCGTCGCTGCGAGAAACGGCTCGACTGGGCTTTCTGCTGCTTGTCTCTGGCTGTGCAGACCTCAGAATGACCGGGCGGTGGCATGTGTTCGGAGTTTTTGAGCAGTGAGGTGCACGTGTGGGCTTGGTGTTCAGCCTGTCAGTCACCGCAGCAAGTGAACTGGGCGCCTTGCTGCTGCCGCAAAATCCTGCTGCTCGGCCAAATGTTGCTCTGTCGGCTCTTCGGTGGGAGGTGTTTCGAGTTTAGAGGTGTGTCCCATGGAAAAATGGCACGGCATCTCGAGGCGCGCATGGGCTCGCCAGTTGTCCGGAGCATAGTGGCAGTGCAGAGCAGCGTGCTTTTCCGAATGTTTTTTGTGAGCAGAGTCTGGTGTAACTTGGCCCACCAAGTCCGCGCTTGATTCTCTGAAGCTTGACTTCCCATTGCGGAGACCTCGGATACGCCCGAAGATCTAAGAATTCAAGAACACTGAAGCTCTCGCATCGGGGAGCCTCGACTTGTGCAAGGTCGGTGAGATGCAGCTTGTGACTTGACAGCCCCATGCTTGCTGTTGGTCGGGACCTAAGTTAAAGCTTCCTCGACTCGTGCAACGCAGTGGCATGAAGCGCGGTTCTTGCATCAGCAGTGCCGAGAGCTCCTAAACCCTGCAAGCGGTAATGTGGGAGTTTCCGAGAGGGTTGGGCTGTCTGGTTTTAGACCCAAACAACAAGAACCGAGCCCGCATTTCAAAGAACCCAAGCCTTCAAAGAACCCAAGCCTTTACCGGCTGTGCAGCGAGAGGTGCTGCATGCCCTGGCCTGGCGTCGCTGGCACTTGGCTCCGGCCGCCTTGGCCTCCCGCTTCCTCTCAGGAGCTCCATGATACTTGGGAGATAGAGGCTTCTCTAGTTTCTTAAAAAACCCAGGGGTACCTTCTTTGGGCGTGCTTCTACGTAGGATCCAACCACGTTGGGTGATTTAGAGGCGCGCCCTTTGCTTTTCATTTTGTCTGAAGCTCCCTCATCTGAAGCCCTGCAAAGCAGCTGGGCCTCGGCTTGCGGAAGTAAAGAGTCCCCCATAGGCCATACAAAAACCCTGACCAAGTCCACCAATTTGGGAGTTTCCGAAAATAAGGGACCCCACTATAGTACCCTAAATAGTGGAATCCTTGTTATAAGGACCCCCAAAATGAGGTACCCCTATAATAATCGGAAAGTCCCATCTGAAGTCGCGCCTGTCAGGAGCCTCGGACATCCAGGAAGCCTGGTACCCTCACTGGACGACGGAAGACCCGGAAGTGCCCTGCCCGTGCGAGGTTCTGCACACACGGAGCCTCCTGCACTCATTTACAGCATAGCTCGGACAGGACTCGTTTTCCCGCTTTCTGTTACAGAGAAGGCAACTCCAGGCCTACTTTTGTTTCCTCATACCTTTGCCCGATTGGCATTAGCAGTCTTCGTCTGCGGCTATAAAGAGTTAGGCTTCCCGCTTCCTATGCAAAGCATGTCGCGACCTGAAGTTGCGACTCTGACTATTGGATTGGCATGCGTGGGTTCGATCTTCTCCCTGCTCGTTGTAGAAGCGACACGTCCAGGGCCTTCGCTTCTCCTCCGCTCCCTTTCCCGTCCCGGCTCAGCACCATCGGCCCCGGGCTCTGCTCAGTCGGACTTCTCCTCCTCCTCGCGGAGCTCGGCGCGCTTGGGAAGCACGGCCTTGGTCTTCGGGGCGGCGCGTTCGGGTTCTTTGGCCTTGGCGCCGGGCTACGGGTCGATGGGCTCCTTGATGCTTCTCCGGTCTCCCGCACGGCTGGCTGCATTGGCTTCTGTGTCAAGCTTCTCGCATCCAGACTTGCCGGTGCCACCACGACAACCTTCACGCTCAGGAAGCTCTGTTTCAGCTTCGGGCATGTCCTGCGCCGGAAGTGTATCCTCTCTGTCTGTTGTGGAGTGTGCCCAACCTGGCTTCAGCATGTTCTTGCGAAGCCTCTCCTAGGCTGGCTCAGCGGTGTCCACACCTGGTTATGGCGACTTCGGTTTCCCGATATCTCCACGCAGCTCTCTGAGACTTGATCTCTTTGCATCAGCCGTGGGCATTGCAAGGATAGGCTTTGTTTTCTCCCTGTTGCTGGCTGAGATGGCAAACCTGGACTTGCCGGCACTGCTGAGAAGCTTTGCTTGTTCAGGATCTTCAGTCCCAGCGCTGACCCACGCAAGACTCGGGCCTCCCCCTCCGCCACACAGCCTCGCTCAATCGGAGCTGTCAACCCTAGCCACGAGCAGTTCGCGAACGGGCTTGATGATGCCACTGCCGAATTGCGCCTCCGTCGGTTCGTCCTTTTTGCTCCAATCCTTTGCCTGCATGGGCTCTGTGCTTCCAGCATCGGGATTTGCCCACGTCGCTCCGTCGACGTTGACCCACAGCTACGTGCGTTTGGAGAGCCTGCCACTCATGGTTGGCGTTTCGCGAGCAGGCTTCGTCTCCTTTCTGTCGGTGGTTTCAAGCACGCTCCTTGGCTCATTCCTTCCGCCGCAAAGCCTGGGTAGACTCGGATCCGTCACGCCAGCCCTGAGACTTGCCGACTCAGGACTGCCTCTGTCCTCGAAAAGCATGGGCTGCCTTGACCCGCTCGTGTCCGCTTTCGGCCTATCAAGGGCAGGCAGTGTCTTCTCTCTCCTGGTTCTGGATTTTCTCCACTCGGGCTCGATTACGTCGGTGAGAGCTCGCACCTGCTTGGGATTCTTCCTACTGGCATCGGACTACCTCGCAATGGGCTCGTCCCTGTTCGTAAGGCAGCTTGCTCGCCTTGGCTTCTCAACACCAGCCTTTAGCAAACTACGCTCAGACGTCACGTCACCGGCATCAGGCAGCGCTCACTGTGAGTCTTCCCTTTCCTCGCACAGCTGCTCGCGGTCGGGATTGGTTCCGACTGCCTTTGGTGCTGCAAGGTCAGGGTCACCGTCACTCCTTCGCAGTTCCGGCCACCTGGAAGTCTCGGCTTCCGTGTCAGGGCTGAGCCGAGCTGGTTTCGTATTCGTGCTGCCTGTCGCTAGCAGAGTCACCCTAGAGCTGTTGCTGCTATCACGAAGCCTTGCACGACTGAGCTCGTCGCCATTGGCTCCTGAGCCTTCGCAGTTTGGACCAAGTCTTCCAGTGCAAAGCTCTGGAAGGCTCGAGTCTGCAGCTTTTGCCCCGGGCTCCTCGCATATGGGGTCACCAATGCTCCTTCGAAGCCTGAGCCGGGTCGGGTCCCTGGTGCTTCTGTCCGGGCTGGCTTGCCTGGGTGTTCCTCTTCCCGTGCTCGGTTGCGCACACGTGGGCTTGCTGATGTCCCTTCGCAGCTTTATGCGTGCAGACTTGATGGCTCCATCTGTGGACTTTGGACAGACAGGTTCTTGCGTTTCTACCAGAAGCTCTGCACACACGGATGCCCCGGCCTTGCCGATGGGATCAAGCCGCCTGGGGCTCGTATTCGCACTTCTGGTCGTGGAAGCGACTCGTCCTGAGCCCTCCTTGCTGCCCAGAAGTCCTGCCTGCCTGGGTCCTGCTGTTCCTGCATCCGGCGCTGCGAATTCAGGTTCGTTGCTCCTAATCAGAGGACTTGTCAGGTGTGGCTCCACACCACTACTACTGGGGGTTGCCAAGTCTGATTATGCCTACTCCCTGTTCGTGCTGGGGGTTACTATTCCTGCATCATCACTCTTTGTGCGCAGCCATGTGCGAATGGACTTTGCATTGCTTGTTCCGGGGTTCGCGGGTCTTGGGTCAAGCGTGCTGATACGGTGCTTTGCGCATTTGGGCCTTTCAGCGCCTGTATCGAGCGTGTCTTGGTTGGGAGCATCCTTGCCAGTTCCGGGCAGCTCTGGTCCTGGTTCTTCGCTTCTTTTGCGGTCTTTCAGTCGGGCAGGACCTGCCTTGCCGGTTCCAAATCTCGCAACCTGTGGCTTCTCGCCGCCAGCACAACATCCCAGCTGTCCCGGTTCCAGCGTCCCCCTGGTTGGCTTGGCTCGCACTGGCTCCGTTTTCCTGCTGCCCGCAACTGACAGGACATGTCCAGGCACGGCCATGCTGCTGAGAAGCTCTGCCTGCACGGGTTCGGTGGTCTCAGCCTCAGGCTGCACGCACCCTGGCTCGCTACTTTCCTTGCGATCGCCTGGACGACTCGACCTGTTGGCGTCGCTCGTGGGATTGGTTCGTGCTGGCTTTGTGTCCTCGCCGTTGGTGCCTGGAAAGGCCAATCCAGGTCCCACGCTGTCGATCAGAAGCTTCAGCAAGACAGACTTCTTTGTGCTTGTGCTTTTCTGTAGCTCTGCAGGCCTGGCGTTGCTTCCAAGAACTTTTGCACACATTAGCAGCTCAGTGTCCGCATGCGGCCTTGGACGAATGGACGTCTCGCTTTTGGTGTCAGGCAGAGCGCATTTGGGTGTCCCCACGTCGCTCCGCAGCCTCGCTCGGGCGGGATCTGCGTCCTTTGCTTTGCAATTTAGTCACGTGGACTTCGCTCCGTCTCTCCAAAGCCCTTCCTGTGCAGGCTTGCCGGCTCTGGCGTTTGGCCTGAGCCGCACAGGCTCCGTGTCCCTGCTGCCGGTGGCAAGCACCGTGCAATCTGATGCTTTCCTGTTGTCACAGGCATTCGGTAGACTCGGCGCACCTACATTCGTGTTGGACTTTTTGCACCCTGGTCTTGCTCTACCTGTTCGTAGCCCCTGCCATGTTGAGCCCATGGTACCTCCGTCTGGCCTGGCACGCTGTGGCTTCGTATCCCCTCCGTCTGTGACTGAGAGCAGCACTTTGGGACCGTCCCCGTCACTACATTCATCCGTCCGAGCAGATTCAGTTCTGCTGGCCATGGCGCCCAGTCACCTTGGCAGTTCCCTACCTCTGCGAAGCCCTTCTTGCGCAGATGCCGCTGTTGTGGTTTGCGGAATTTCTCGGCCGGCAGCCCTTCCTTCGGCCTCAGGCTCTGCTGGAACGGGTTCCTCTTCAGTACCCAGAAGCCTTGCCCGGACAGGATCCCTTTTGTTGGCCTCTGGCATGCAGCATCCTGGGTCTTTGCTGTCTCTGAGGGAGCACGGCCAGCTTGGTCCTTTCGTGTTTGCAACAGGACTGGCTCGTGCCGGCCTCGTGTTCCTGCTATCTGCCGCAGAAGTAAGCCATCCGGGCTTTTTCCTTTTGCCCCGAAGCTCTGCACGTGTTGGCAGCGTCCTGCCGGCGTGCAATTTTGCGCGCACAGGATTCTCTACATCCTTGCGGATGTCTGCTCGTTCGGGTAGCACTGCGCTGGCTTCTGGTGTTGCGTGCTCAGGAGTTCTGCTTTTCGTGCTTGGCAAGGCGGCGATGGGAAGTCCATTGTCGTTGCGATCACGTGGCCGCCTGGGCTTCGTGTCATCTGCCTCGCGTTTCTCGGACTCCGGCTCTTTCGTGCCCTTGCGTGGACTTGCTCGTGTGGGTCCCACCGTTTTTTCGTTCGGCCTTGCGCGAGCTGGGCCTGCATCCCCACTTCCAGTGACAGAGGCGACGAAACCCGACCTATCACTTTCTCTGAGGAGTTGCAGTCAATTCGGTTTCGGCTCATCAGCCTTGTGCTTCTCACACGCAGAGCCCTCGCTCTTTCTCCGGCAGCCTGCTCGTCTTGGCTTCACTGTTTTCGTGTTTGGCTTGTCTTGGGCCGGTCCAGTGTTCGCCTTGTCGGCAGTTGACAGTGTCCATTTGGGCTTCTTCTTGTTTTCACGAAGCGCAGGTCGACCGGGCCTTCCCTTGTCAGTCTCCGGTGCTACTTGCCCGTGGTCGGCGTTGCCGCTCAGATCCTTTGCGCGACCTGGGTCGCTTGCTCCGCCTTTGGGTCTAAGCCGCGCAGGCTCTGTTTCCCCGCTGCTGTTGGTGGACAACGCATGCCCTGACTTCCCTGCATCACTGCGTTCTCTTGCCTACCTCGAACTCCTCGTTTCGGTGCTTGGGTACAGCGAGTCGGAGCCTTTGGTGCCTTCGCAGTCCTTCGCACGCCTGGGCTTTACGGCGCTTGCTTCTGGCCTCGGGTGGTCGGGCAGCCTGCCTCTTGTCTCGAGCAGCTCGAGTACTGAATTCCCACTTTCCATGCGGTCACCTGGTCGGCCAGGTTCCTTTGCCTCTATGCCGGGCTTCGCGAAGGCAGGCCTCTCCACATCTTTGCGCCAGCGCGCTCGACTGGAGGCGACTGCCTTGATCTTTGGCATCTCGCGTGCGGGGTTGGTCTCCTTTCTGCTGGTGGTGGACAAGGTTACTCCAGGCTTTCTGCCACTGTTGCGTTCCTCGGCCAGAGTCGGGCCGTTCCCGTCAGCATCGGGCTCCTCTACTTTGGGATTCTTGGCTCCCTTGCAAAGTCCTGCCTGCCTTGGCCCAGTAGCGTTCGTACCGGCATGCAGTAGCTCCGGGCCGCCGCCGCCCTTGAAAGCACCAGCTCAGCCAGGCTTTGCTGTGTTCGTGACCGGAACCGCAAGGTTGGGACCGGTCTTCGTCCTGCCAGTTGCGGCCTGCGCCCACTTGGGCTTCTCACTGTCTTTGCGATCCTTCGCTCGTGTGGGGCCAGCCTTCTTCGTGTGCGCTTCCAGTCACATCGGGTTGCTTGCATCTTTGAGGTCCCCTGCGCAAATTGATCTACCCCTTCTAGTGCCAAAGTTCGCTCATCTCGGTTTCTCCATGCCGTCGAGAGGACTTAGTCGAGCGGGAAGCCTTGCGTTGGTTTGGGGAGCCTCCAGGCCGGGCTCAGTCTCCCCACTGCCGGCCTCGGACCTTCTGCAACTCGGGTCCTCGCTTCCGCCGAGAGCGCACGCGTGCTCGGGCCCAGCCCTGCCGGTTGTGGACTCCCTCTCTCCTGGCAGCTTTACATCCTCGAGGAGCCTCGCCTGTGCTGGCCCAGCCTCGTTGCCACCCGACCGCGGGAAACTTGGTCCCCCCATTCCGCCGCACAGCCTCGCTTAGCCAGGCTCTGCAGCACCATCCTGGGGCATCTCCAGAGTTGGACCCGTGTTCTTGCCGTCCGCAGCTGACAAGGTGCATTTGGGATTTCTTTCGTCTCCTCGGAGCCTCGCACGATGCGGCTTCTCACTCTTGGCTCTCTGCACGGCCCACCCGGGAAGCTCCGCTTTGCTCCGATCCCCTGCTTAAGCTGGTCCGGCGGCCTCTGCTTGCGGTCTCTCGAGGTCAGAGCCCCTTCTGTCGGTCCTGGGCCGTGCGCATACGGGATTTGCGCCCCTGCTTCGAAGCCCCTCACGCGCTGGCCCCGCCGTACCGGCACTTATGGGTTCGCAGCTTGACTCTTTCCCGTTGATGCAGCAACTCGCTTACCCGGGCTCTTTGGCGCTGCCCTTCGGATTGGCACGAGCTGACTCTGTTTTCCCACTGTCTGTCGCTGATGCAACTCACCCCGAAGTCCCATTGCCTCTGCAATCCTTTGCTTGCTTGGGCTCAGCTGCGCCAGTTCCGCGTTCTGCGGATTTTGAATTCTCCGTGTTGCTCAGGAGCTTTGCACAACTTGATCTCATGGTGTCTGCCTCTGGAGCAGGCTGCTCAGATGTCTTCCTTCCAGCCCTGTCCAACACAAACCTGGGCTTCGCCTCATTTCCTCGCTCCTCCGGCCGACTCGGCCCTCTGATGTTGGCATTGAAACTTGTGGATTCGGGCTCTTTCGTTCTACTGCAATCTTTTGCGCAACTAGGGCCACCTGCATCTCTCTTTGGCTTGAGTTGCGCTGGCTTCGTGTTCCCTCTACCTGTAGTGGAGAGGGTGTGCCCGGGCAGCGCATCGCTTCCACGTAGCCTTGCCAGACCGGGTGCTTCAGTCTCCGCCTTCTGTGATAAGTCACCGGGATCTCCGTCGCCTCTCCGGAACTCCGGACACACTGGACTTGCGGCAACGGTATCCGGGCTGGCCTGTTTGGACGTCTTGGTGTTTGTGCTGGGAGGGTCGAGACCTGGTCCAAGCCTGCCTCTGCACAGCCTCTCAAGGACAGGCTCTGCAACGCTCGTGCCCGGAATGTCTCACATAGGATTCAGCATGTCCTTGCGACAACCTACAAGACCCGAAGCCTCGGCTTCCATCTGCGGCCTTGCGTGTCTTGAAGTTCCAGTTCTGGTCCTCGCCGAAGGTCATTCGGGCCCTTCGACTCCCTCGCAAAGCCTCGCGTAGCCGAGCTTCACCGTGTTTGTGCTGGGCCATTTTGAGTTTGATCCAACTCCGCTTGCACGAAGCCATGCTCGTTCAGGCAGTGCCGCGCTTGTGTCGGCCTCCTCTTCGACGGGCTCCTTGCTGCTGTTGCGCAGCTTCTCCTGCGTTGATTTCTCTGTATTTCTGCTTGGATTGAGCAGAGTGGGCTTCGTGTCCTTCCTGCCTGTGGCCAGTTCGACAACTCCAGGCTTCTCGCTCCCGCTTCGCAGCTCCTCGCATGCAGAGCTGGCGGCTCCGGTGCTGAAGCTCGCTGCTCTGGGATTCTCCATATTCTTGAGACAGTTTGCAAAGCTAGCGAGCTTCGTGCCGGTTTCGGGCGTCGCTCGCTTGGAATTGCTGATTTCGGCATCAGGTGCCGCACATGCGGGATCATCCTGCAGCTTGCGCACCTTCGTTCGACTCGACTCTGCAGCATTCGCCCTGGGCTTCTCGCACACTGGTTCATTCCCTCCCGCAAGAAGCCATGCGCACTCTGAGAGCTTGATGTTCATTGAGGGAGTTGTCCGCATCCGCTCTCTTGGTGCGCTGCCAGTGGTGGAAGTTGGACTCCCTGGATCGTTGCTTCTGGCGCGAAGCTCCGTTCGAATCGACCCGGCTCCGCCTGCTTTATCGCACAGCCACTTCGATTCTGCAGCTTCGCTTCAAAATCACCTGCGCGGTGGTCTCTTGCTGTTCATCTTTGGCACGGCTCTCCTCGGTCTTGCACTGTTTGTTTCGGATTCCTCGAACCTAGAGTTTGCGTTGAGCGTGCGATCCTATGCACGAACTGGTCTGGCTATCCCAGTGTGTGCATTTACGGACACTGGCTCCTCTCTGCTACTGAGGCAGTCGTGCCACTCAGGAAGTGCTGCGCCGATGCCGGGAACAGTTTGTTCGGAAGCGACAATGTCCATATGTGGTGCATCCCACTTGGCATCGCTCGTGTCCCCTCGAAGCTCTGGATGCACTGGTCCGGCAGTGCCGGCGTCTAGGTTTGGCGAACCTGGTTCGTCGATGTTCTTGCGCAGCTTCGGCTGGTCTGGCTTGTCAGTATCGGCTTTCGGGCTTGCCAGGACAGAGCCCGTGTTCTCTCCCTTGGTGGCCGACAAGGTACAGTTGGATATATCCTTGCCCTCGCAGTCCACGGCTTGTTCGGGATTTTCGGCATTGGCCCTGGAACCTGTCAAGTTCGGCTCCGCAGTGCCTTGCCGCAGTTTTGCTCGCACCGGCTTGAGCGCACCTTCCTTTGGCAAGGCATGCCTTGGTCTCCCCGTCCCGATTCTTGATGCGGTGGAACTCGAGCCCCTGCTGCCTTCCCACAGCCACGCTCGATCAGAGCTGGTCCTGTTTCTGCCTGAACTCGCGGTGGTGGGATCATCAGCATTACTGCGCTCTCTCAGCTGCACGAACTCCCCCTTGCTCACCTGTGGTTTCGGCGATGTAGACTTCTTGCTGTCGTCGCGTCAATCTGCCCACTTAGGTTTCAGTGCGCCGGTCTGCGGCATTTCGCGTCTAGACTTCCTCTTGCTGGCTTCAGGTGCGGCTTCGATGGGATTTTTCCTTCCACCCCGGAGCCTTGCGAGACTGGACCCGCCGATCTCCGTGTTTAGGGAGCAGCACCCGGGGCCGTCACTACTTCTGCGAATGTCTGCTTGCTGTGGCAGTACCGCACCGGTTTTCGGGATGGTTTGCTCAGGGTCGTCGATCTTTCTATTGTCCGATGCAAGGCCGGGTGCCTTCGTTCTCGTGCGAAGTCTTTCAAGACTGGGAGCTGCAATCTTCGTTCCGAACTCTGGCACTCTTGGCTTGTCAGCGTCCCCACACTCCTCTGCTCGCGTAAGCCCCGCGGTGCTTGTGCCGAGTCTTGCCCACTTGGGCAGCTTTGCGTCTTCAAGGAGCTTTAGTCGCGTGGACCCCGTTGTATCTGTTCCGAGACTCACTGACATGGGCTTCTCACTGCTTCTGCAAGACTTTGGGCGGGCTGGCTCTATCGTGTTAGTCTTCGGCGTTGCGTGGCTCGGGCCTTTGCTCTTTGCTTTGAGCTGTAGTCACCTTGGCTTCACACCCTCTTTGAGGAGTTTTGCGAGAGCTGGGCCGGCAGTTTCTGTGTCGGGAGCCTCTCACCTCGGCCTCTTCTCGCCCATGCGAAGCTTCGCTCGCTTAGGGCTGACGGCTCCGACCTTTGGCGCCTGCCGCCCGGGGAGTGTCTTCGCCCTGTCGGTTGCTGACAAAGCCACCCTTGGCTCGTCATTGCCGCTACGTTCATCGGCTCATCTTGGCGCCTCAGCGCCCGCTTTGGCGTTTACACATACTGGCAGTTCGTCGCTTCCGCAAGAACCTGCCTGGCCGGCATCTTCGGCACCCGTCCTTGGCATCGCATGCTTGGAGGCCCTTGCGTTTGTTCCGGGTGGCTACAAGCCAGGGTCCTCATCGTTCTTGCGATCCTCGTCCCGATCAGCTTCCGTGGCTCCGGTTCTGGGATGTGGACACCTCGGCTTCTTCCTGTTGTCACAAAGCTCTGCGCGCTGTGGCAGCCCGCCGCTCGCCTTGAGGATGGCCGACGTGGGTGCTTCGGTCTTTTTGCGAAACTTCGGTCAAATTGGTCTCTCTGTTTCCACGTCTGGCGTCGGGTGGCCGGGGTCCGGGATGCCACCTTCGGGCTGTGTCCAGTTGGGTTTGTTGATGTTAGTGCACAGTCCTACATGGCTTGAGTCTGCTTTGCCGGCTCTCCATGACAAGACTACAGAATCCTTCCTGGTTCTGAGATGTTTTGCACACTTGGGACTCTCCGCTTTGCTTTTGGGCAAGTCAGCCTTGGATGCCTTCCCGTCAGCTCCTGGATTTGTGCACTCAGGTCCGCCGCTTCCGTTGCGTAGCCGTGCGCGGGTGAGCTTTGCACTGCTCGCTCTTGATTTTTCTCATGCTGGCTTTTCAGCCTCTCTGCAGTCTCTTGCCTGCTCGGGGTTTGTGGTGCCTGCCTCCGGTGCTGCCAAGGCGGGCTCTTCGCTACTTTCACGGTCCTCTGGTTGCCTCGGGCCTGCTGCATCAGCTTGTGGAATGCTGCGCCTCGGCTTCAGGACGTCAGCTCTGCAAAGCGCAACTTCAGGACTTCCGCTCTTGACGAAGAGTCTCGCATGCGCAGACCCCGTGCTTCCAGCTCTTGGATCTGCTCGTTCAGGCCCACCGCCTCCTTCGCAATCCTTCACATGCACTGGCCTTCTGGTTTCGTCCTTCGGGGCAGCAGCATTCGACTTCTCAGTGCCGGCTCTTGATATGCTTCAACTGGATGTCCTGCCATCTTTGCGAAGTCTCCTCCAACCTAGCCCTGCAGCACTGGTGCCTGGTTTATTCCACCTCGGTTTGTTGGCCTCGCTGCGGTCCTCCTCATGCCTGGGTCTCCCGGTGTCCGTGACTGGCATCGCTTGTCCAGATCTTTCCTTGCTCGTGTCAGGCGGATCGAATCCAGAGCTGGTTTTGTCTCCCAGGAGCCTCGGCTGCGCAGACTCTTTTCCTCTGATCCCTGGCTTTGGCCATCTCGAAAGCAGCGTTCCACTTCGAAGCCTCGCATGTGTGGGCCTTGCGGCTCTGGTGCTGGGCATGGCGGCGCTCGAGCTATCGCTGCCACCAAGAAGCCTTGCTTGAGCAGGTTTACCTCTGTTTGTATCACAGTTTGGTAAGTCGGGCTTTCTGCCGCCCTTACACACTCCCGCCCGCATAGGATCCTTTGTGCCAGCGTTCGGAATAGCTCAGCTGGGCACCTTCATGTCTGTGTTGGATTTGCTTTTCCCAGGTGTCTTGATGCCCTTGCACTCCTTCGCCTGTCCCGACCCGTTGACGCCAACTCTCAAGGCAGTGCACCCTGAATCACCGATGCTGTTGCAAAGCCTCTCTTACCTTGGGTTTCTGGCGCTCATGTCCGGGACAGTGTGGTCAGGTTTCCTTTGTTCATTATTCGTCGTTGGTATCGCCACGATGGAGCTGCCCTTGTTTCTGCGCAGCACTGCCAAGCTTGGAGCCTCTATGCCTGCCCCCCGATTTGCGCACGCCGGCCTTGTGATGCCCTCGAGAAGCTTTGCCTAGCCAGATGCCGCTGTTTCCGTGCTCGGCTTGTCACGTCCGGACGCAGCCATGTTGGTTCCAGGAGACGCCTCTTTGGGGTCGTCGCCATTTCTGAGGAGCTACTCCAGGATGGGTGCGGCTGTACCCGCTCTGGGCCTCTGCAAGCCGGACTCTCCCATCTCACCACGGTCCCTTGCACATCCGGGCTTGCCTGCTTTGGCAATAAGGCCTGCACACTTGGGCGCGCTGGTGTCGCTTCAAAGTCCTTCCCAAGCAGAGTTCGTCGTGCTGTTGGTTGGACTTGTTCGCCTGGGGCCATGTCTATCCGCACTGGAAAGAGTAACGGTCGAATCTTCACTTTTCACCCGAAGCTTCGCACGGATTGAGCTGCCGCTGCTTACATTGCACGCATCGGAATCGGGAAGCTCGCCGTCTCTACGCTGCCCTTCGCGTTCGGGAGCTGCGGCGCTGCTGTGCGGCACTGCAAGAACGAGTTCCTCTTTCCTGGCTTCGGACTGCGGCCACACGGCTTCCATTCCGTCCATTAGGAGCCTTGCAAGGGTGGACCTTGCTGTGTTTGCATTGAGCCGTGCTCATTCCGAGCCTCCTTTGCCTGTCCGTAGCTCTGCCTGGATTGACTCGGGGTCACCTGTCATGGGCTTCTGCCATATTGGCCTGTCGCCCTCTACAAGAGACTTCGCCTGCCCTGGCCTTGCCGTTTCTCTTTGCGGTTTCGGTTGCCTGGGTTTGACAACCTTGGCCTCGGACAGAAGTTCTTTGGGCCCCTTTCCGCCTTCAAAGAGCATGGCCAGAGCCGGTTTTGCAGTGCCCGTCCTGGGATCCAACAGCACAGACTTTTCAGTTCCTTTACGCTCCTCTGCGCAATCAGGGCCTCTGGTTTCTGTGCCTTTCAGTGCGGGTCTAGGCTCCCCGGCATTGCTCCATGCTCTCTCACGTGCGGGTCTGTTGGTGCCAGCCTCTTCTATTTCACGCCTTGGCTTCAGTCTCCTTGTCTTGGGTGCATCGCACATCGGTAGCTCCATTTCCCTGAGATCGCTTGCGTGGTCGGGTCCGGCAGCGTTTGCTTCAAGAGCAGGAGGGCTGGGCAGCTTCTTGCCACTGAGAAGCTTCGCACGCATCGAAAGCTTTGTGTCATGTTTGGGCGAGGTACGCCTGGGTAGCGGGTCGTCGGCGCTCGGCTGCAGTCATCTCGAGACCTTCTCATCTCCTCACAGCTTTGCGCGAATGGACTTCGTGGTTTTGGTCTTAAGAGCAACAGGTCTCGGCTCCTTGGCACTTTTGAGGTCTTTTGGACACCTGGGTTCTGCACCTCTGGCGCTCAACTTCGGTCACGCAGGCCCATCTCTTTCATCAAGAGAGCCTGTCCATGCAGACTTTTCAGTCTCCGTCGCTGGCATGTCGTGGTGTGACTCCTCATCTCTGGCATCGGACCCTTTGTACCCTGAGCCATCGACCCTTCTGAAGAGCGCAGCCCAACTGGAATCACTTGCGCCAGCCTCGTGTGCACATCACCTTGGCATGCCGACGCTGCTCCGGTCTTCCACGTAGCTCGAGACCTCAGCGCTTGTCTGCGGTATGTCTTGCCTTGAAGCTTCCGCTCCTGCGTCGGGCTCTTCGCATTTGGAGCTCCCAGCTTTGCCCCATAGCTTTGCACGCTTTGGATTCGTAGTACCAGTGTCGTGTGCCACGAGCCCAGACCTTTCGACTTCTCCAAGGTCCTCCGTGTGCCTCGGCTTCGCTGTTTTGGCTCTCAGGTCTGCGGATTCGGGCTCCCCAGCGTTCTCGCGGGCGCTCTCTCACTTAGGCTCCCCGGTGCTTGTGTTTGGCTTGGCACGGTTTGGTCTTCTGGCGTTGGTGTCGGCTGGGGCGAGTGTTGGCTCTCTTATGTTCCCACGAAGCTTCTCTCGCCTAAGTCTGGCAGTGCTGGTCTTGGCTTTCTGTCACTCAGAGCTCCCCGTGTTCCTGCGCAGCTTTATGCGCTCAGGATTGCCGGTCCCTATCTTCTCATCCGTTGTTCTTGGCCTCATTGTGTTTATCCCGGATCATGCACATACGGGATTCCCAACATTCGTGCGCAGCTCCGCTCAGCTCGAGCCCGTGATTTCGGCTTCGGAAGGTACATGTCCTGAGTCCTTTCTGTCCCTGCAATCCATGGCCTGTTTCGATGCATCGCCGTCGGCCTTACGCTCCCATCATATTGGACTACCTTCATTGCTGCGGTCGCTCGCCCAACCCGGCCTGATTGCTTTGGTCTCTGGAGTGGGCAGATTGGGGCTCCCTGTCCCAGTCTTGAGTGCAGCACACGCGGGTTTCAGCCTGCTGCTACGAAGCTTTGCGCAAGCAAGCTCCTCCCCCTTGGCGTTACAATCGGGACACCCGGAAGCATCGCTGTCATTGCACAGCTCCTCACGCACTGGCTCCTGTGTGCTTGTTTCTGGGCGGGCTGTGCCAGGCTTCCTGCCGTTACCTTCGGATTCTTTGCAGCCAGACCTTTCAGCACTGCCGCATAGCTCTGGTTGCTCCGATCTGGTCGTGCCGACCCTGAAGTCCACTCATCCGGGACCATTGCCTTTCTTGCGAAGCCATGCTCGCTCAGAGCCTTCGGTCTTCATCTGTAGTGCCGCAAGTCTTGGATTCATATTGTTGCCGCGCGGTCTCTTGTGGCCAGGCTTTTGCGCCTCAAGTGCTGCCACCTTGCAAATCGACGACACACTGTCTCTGGTGAACACATTCAACTCAGGATTCTCGCCTCCCCTCCAAAGCTATGCTCGACTCGGTTCCTGCTTGTCGGCCTTTGGCGCCAGCAGACTAGAAAGTGTGACGTTTCTGCGATCAATGGCTCGCCTTGGCTTGGTCGTTCCGCTCTGCGGCTTGTCGCGATCGGGTTTGGCCCTCTTGGCTCTTGGGTCGGCCGGCCTCGGCCCTTCTCTGCTCCTGAGAAGCCTTTCATGTGCTGGCAGTATCTTGTCACCCTTTGATACGACTCGTGCCGGACCGTCGGTATCTTTGCGGTCCCTCTCCTGGTCAGGTAGTGCTACTCCGACTCTGAATCTCGGCCACTCGGGCCCCTCGGCATTCTCGCAAAGCCTCGCGCGCGCGGGCAGCACTGTCTCGGTTCTCGGCATCGCAAGGATGGGCCTGTTGCTGCTGGTTTCGGCCACGGGAGGTCCGGAGTCATCCTCATCGATTCAAAGCTTCGCTTGCATTGACCCGCTGCTGCCAGTTTTGTCGAGTAGCCACCTCGGACCGCCGGCGCTTCTGAAGAGCTTTGGTCGCTGCGGATCGCCAGTCTCGATTTCTGGCGCCGAGCGAGCAGGTTCGTCTTTGCTCTTGAGGAGTTTTGCGAAGGTTGGCTCTGCTGCCTCAACCTGCGGTCTCTCGCGGCCTGGCTCGAGGCCTTCTGTCTTGGACGCGACAAAAATGGGATTTCTCCTGTCGCCACAATCTCTTGCTCGTGTAGGAGCCAGCCCATCGGCTTTCCAAATGGCGAAGGCAGGAAGTTCAACGCTTCCTCAAACCTCTGCTTGCTTGGGAAGCCTTGTGTCCATCTGTGGCATGAGTCGCCAAGGCTCTCCGCTTTTTGCGCTGGACATGCTGTTGTTGGGGTCCTTGCTGTTTCTGCAGTCACATGCCAGATCAGGCCTGGTGCTGCCCGTACTGCAACTTTCACACGCCGGCTTCTGCCTGCTAGCCAGAGGATCCGTGCGCCCTGGTCCCTATCTGTTGGCTTACGGCGATGTGGAACAAGCCTCTGCGGTGTTGGTTCGGAGCTTCAACCTGGTCGGATCAATTTCGCCAACCTTCTCCATGGCTCGTCTTGGCTCTCTCCCATCAGTTCCGAGCTTTGGGACGCTGGGCTCTCTGCTGCTGTCGCAAAGCCTTGTTTGCTTGGGCCTCTCTGTGCCGGCCTTGAACATGGCAGCTTGTGGATCCCCATCATCTTTGCGCGTTTCCAGCTGTGCAGAGCCTACGGCGCCGACCTGCGGCCTGGGGAGACTCGGATTGCTTTTGTCTGTCCCAGGCGGGTCCTTGGTTGACTCTGTCTTGTCCTTGAGATCTCCTGCCTGTTTAGGTTTGGCCGTCTCCGCTTTATCCTCGGCACATCCGGGTGTCTCGGCCTCGTTGCAGTCCCTTGGCCACTCGGGTTCCGTGGTTTTCACCTCCGGTTTCAGCCACATTGGCAGCCTGACGCTTCCGAGGAGTTTGGGTCGTTTGGGAAGCTTCGCTTTGCTCGTTGGCGTGAGTTACTCTGGCTTGTCCATGCCTGCCTTAGACCTTTTGCACCCTGACCTGACTGTCCCGCTGCGATCTATCGCCCAAGCGGGTTTCCTTCCGCCAGCACTGAATTCTGCTCGCCTTGGGCTGTTGATGTTTTTGCAATCTTCTGCGTGGGCAGGGCCTATGGCATCCGTTCTCGGAGTTGGGCGTCTGGGGTCGTTACCACTGGCCCTGAGTGGAGTTGGTTCAGGAAGCTCGCTTCTCCCGCGCAGCTTTGCATGGACCGGCTCCGCCGTGCCTGCCTTGTCTTCAACATCCCCAGGGTTCTTAATGTTTCTCCGGAG